GTTGTGTTATATTGCTGATACTCATCCTCATTGCGATTGATGTGTCGAATCGTGTGGCCCTCAATCAAATCAATCGCATACGTAAGCTCTTTCTGGAGGCCATCCTGCGACAGGACATGTCCTGGTATGACACCACGTCGGGCACAAATTTCGCCAGCAAAATGACAGAGTAAGTGAAGGGAACTCGGCGAAAGAGTATGAAAATATTAATGATATAATATAATATTTGCAGAGACTTGGATAAGGTCAAGGAGGGCATTGGCGAAAAGGTGCGCATAGCAGCAGATGCTTAGAATCTTAAGGTGCTTAAGTAACGTGTCCTTTTCTATCTTCCGCCAGGTCGCCATCGTCACGTTTCTCTTCATGACCTTTGTCATGGGCATTGTGGCCTCGTTTATCTATGGCTGGAAGCTGACCTTGGTGGTGCTCACCTGCAGCCCCTTCATCATACTGGCCACAGCTATGGTGGCCAAGATTCAGAGTTCGCTGGCTGAAAAGGAATTGAAAGCCTACTCGGATGCCGGCACAGTGGCCGAGGAGGTGTTCAGTGGCATTCGCACTGTCTTCGCCTTCAGTGGAGAGCGCAAGGAAAACGAACGTTTCTCGAAGCTTCTGATACCCGCCGAAGCGACGGGCCGCAAGAAGGGTCTCTACTCGGGCATTGGCGCCGGTGTCATGTGGCTCATCATCTATGCCTGCATGGCCATTGCCATTTGGTATGGCGTGAACCTGATCCTGGATGATCGCAGCAACGAGGAGCGCCAATATACGCCTGCAGTTCTTGTCATCGTTCTCTTTGCCGTCATAATGGGTGCCCAGAACTTGGGTTTCTCCTCGCCACATGTGGATTCATTTGGTGTTGCTTTGGGCGCGGCCCGGAATCTGTTTAGAATCATTGATCGCAAGTCCGAAATTGATCCGTTGGATGAGTCGGGCCTGAAGCCGGAGAGCATAACGGGTCGTCTAAGGTTTGAGGATATACACTTTCGTTATCCCTCCCGGCCGGACGTCGAGATACTGAAAGGCTTAACTGTGGATGTGGAGCCGGGGCAAACGGTGGCGTTTGTTGGCGCCTCCGGCTGTGGCAAGAGCACAGTCATACAGCTAATGCAGCGTTTCTACGATCCGGAACAGGGTCAAGTGCAGCTGGATGGACGCGATTTGTGCAGCTTGAATGTGGGTTGGCTGCGCTCCCAAATCGGCGTTGTGGGCCAGGAGCCGGTGCTGTTTGCCACCACAATTGGCGAGAACATACGCTTCGGCAATCCACTGGCCACGCAGTCGGACATCGAACGTGCCGCACGCAATGCCAATTGCCACGAGTTCATCAGCAAGCTGCCCAAGGGCTACGACACACAGGTGGGTGAGCGCGGTGCCCAAATGTCTGGCGGACAGAAGCAACGGATTGCCATTGCCCGTGCGCTGGTGCGCAATCCGAAGATTCTGCTACTGGACGAAGCGACATCCGCGCTGGACCCCACCTCCGAGAAGCGTGTACAGGATGCATTGGAGCTGGCCAGCCAAGGGCCAACCACCCTTGTTGTCGCCCATCGCCTATCGACTGTGACTAATGCCGACAAAATTGTATTTGTCAAGGACGGCAAGGTGGCCGAGCAGGGCACACACGACGAGCTCATGGACAAGGGTGGTTTATACTACGATCTGGTGAACATAACTCGTCGCAAGGAAGCCACCGAGGAAACCGGCAGTGTGGCCAAATTGGCATTGTCCAAGAGCAGGGAGGATGATATCATGGTTCTTGATGACGACGATGAGCTCGAGGATGAGGAGTATGAAGAGGACATCGGCGAGAATGGCGCTGCGGCGGCAGAGGTTAATAGCAGCAAGGACGACGTGTTCAGCGTTAGTTCAAGCAGCAAACGTAAGTTGGAAGAGCTTAAAATGCGATATATACCCTGTACATATTGCGGAAGTGGGAGCTAAGGCTGCTGGGGGAGAATATATATATGTATATGTCTATATCTATATCTATGTCTGTCCGTTTGTATGGGGCTAAACCTATGTAGTTCCTCTTAGTGAGTTGCTGCATTTGATGATGTGAGTCATGTGTGAGTGATGTGTCTCGTTTATCCTGTATATTGACTTTAGTCCTATTCATACTCTCATACTGTCCTTTCTCCTTCCTTCCTCCTTATTACTCTCACCCTAACTCTTTTAATTTCCCTGCAACTGTCTGTCTCTCTCCCCCTCTCTCACACACTACCTTTGCTACCCTTTTCTCTAGCTCTAGCTCTATCTTACCCCCTCTCTCAACCACTCTCTTATATCTAACAACCAAATCTATATGAATATGCCTTCCAGGCCGTTCACAACGTCGCAAGAAGAAGAAGAAGCAGCCCAAGCCAGATGAACCCAAAGTCTCATTCGTGCAACTGATGAAGCTGAATGCACCCGAATGGCGTTACATGCTGTGGGGCTGCCTCGCAGCCGCTATGCACGGCATCACGTTCCCATTGTGGGGCTTGTTCTTTGGCGACTTCTTCGGCATCTTGTCCGATGGCGATGAGAATCTGGTGCGACACGAGGGCAACAATATTTCATACATTTTCATTGGCATCGGGCTGATGGCTGGCGTGGGCACAATGCTGCAGAGCTACATGTTCACCACGGCTGGCGTTAAGATGACAACGCGCTTGAGGAAGACGGCATTCAAGACAATCGTGGCGCAGGAGGTGGCCTTCTTTGATGACGAACGCAATTCGGTGGGCGCACTGTGCGCTCGACTCGCTGGCGACTGCTCCAACGTGCAGGGCGTAAGTCTGCCTGAAGCAAAGATTAATGATGAGTCTACTACAACTTTGAACTTGTTTCTCAGGCAACTGGCGCACGTGTTGGCATCATGCTGCAGGCCGTGGTCACCTTGGCCGTGGGCATGTTAATTGGTTTCATCTATTCCTGGCAGCAGACTTTGTTGACTACCGTCACCCTGCCCTTCCTCTGTCTCTCTGTCTATCTAGAGGGTCGCTTCATAGCGAAGAGCGCTCAGTCAGCCAAGGCGGCCATCGAGGATGCCTCACAGGTCGCCGTTGAGGCCATTGCCAATATACGCACTGTCAATGGCCTGGGCCTGGAGCAGCAGGTGCTCGAGCGCTATATCAAGCAGATTGATCAGGTGAATGTCGCTTGTCGTCGCAAGGTGCGCTTCCGCGGCCTGGTCTTCGGGTTGGGCCAGACAGCGCCGTTCCTCGCCTATGGCGTGTCGCTCTACTATGGCGGCATGTTGGTTGCCAATGATGGCTTGCCCTATGAGGATATTATTAAGGTTGCCGAGGCGCTGATCTTTGGCTCCTGGATGCTGGGTCAGGCCCTGGCCTATGCACCGAATGTCAACGATGCCATCATCTCCGCTGGGCGCCTGATGAAGCTGTTCGAGCAGACGCCCAAGCAATCCAATCCGCCACTGAATCCATATAACACAGCTGAGGTGGGCTTAGTATATTGTCGAAACTGAAGTCTTTCTCTTAATAACTTGTTTCGTCTCTTCCAGAAATCTGAGGGCGACATTGTCTATGAGAATGTTCGCTTCGAGTATCCCACGCGCAGGGATACGCCCATTCTGCATGGCCTGAATCTCACGATCAAGAAGAACACCACTGTGGCGCTGGTGGGTCCATCGGGTTCGGGGAAATCCACTTGCATCCAATTGCTGTTGCGCTACTATGATCCAGTCTCCGGTTCGGTTACCTTGAGTGGCGTGCCGAGTACGGACTTCCCACTTGATACACTGCGCTCCAAGTTGGGTTTGGTGTCACAGGAGCCGGTGCTCTTCGACCGCACCATTGCCGAGAATATCGCCTATGGCAACAATTTCCGTGATGATGTGCCCATGCAGGAGATTATCGAGGCTTCGAAGAAGGCGAATATACACAATTTCATTAGCTCCCTGCCGCAGGGCTATGAAACACGCGTGGGCAAGACCTCGCAGCTTTCTGGTGGCCAGAAGCAACGCATCGCCATTGCCCGAGCTCTGGTGCGAAATCCCAAGATTCTTATACTGGACGAGGCGACATCCGCCTTGGATCTGGAGAGCGAAAAGGTGGTGCAACAGGCGCTTGATGAGGCCAGAGCTGGACGCACCTGCGTGACCATCGCCCATCGGCTGAGCACAGTGCGTGATGCCGACCTGATATGTGTACTGAAGCGTGGCATCGTTGTCGAACAGGGCACACACGATCATCTAATGGCACTGAATGGCATCTATGCGAACCTCTACATGATGCAGCAGGTGGCTGGATAGATTATTGCCTAAAACAATATGCGCAGTTTAGACTGGGCTATGTACCCGTTACCGAGCTCGGACCTATTTGTAGAGCTCATTGAAAGAGGAGTGCCAAATCTTGTCTAGCTTTAGGTCAAATAATTTTGTAGTTTCTATTGAATTTTTAGATGTATAAGAATTAAAGCTCTAAGAGCATTTAATATTAATGTAGGAAATTCAAGCCTATTTATCCAAAATAACTAATAAATATAGTAATGTATGCATAATTATTTATCAGCAATGTTTTCTAACAAAAAAGCAGAATAATCAAAACGTATTCGGTGCGAGATTCATAAGCAACAGATCATGTTGAATAGCAGTGCTCACCTCACTACTAGTAGCAGCTCATGGTGGCGTGCAATACTCACCTCACTCACTCTTCGAGCATGGTTAGTTGTAAAGCTCAGCTCATTGCACACTAACATAGCGCAGTGGGATTTTGAATTCACCTCACTGCATACTAACAGCAGAGCATGGTGTGTTGTCGCCACACATAGGCTTGCAAATTTAGTATACCACGAGAAATTGTAGACTTCACCTCAGTGCATACATGCATATGGTACTTTCAATGTTCCTGGTGGGTTGCTATAATCAAATCTCTCATAGCTTACACAACTGTGATCTCTGTTTATTTATTTATATGTCCTGCACATACATACACAATTAAGCATACGTACATATACATATATACATATATGACAAAATAAATAAATATGTCTCATTAGCCAATTGTTGTCTCTAAAGAAAGGAGATATGTTCTCGTGTAGAGTTAGCCTATAACCGACTATCGATAAGGGGTCCAGGTGTGGCCAAGGCATTGCGCCGCTCCTGTATAGCAAAGGTCAGCTTGCGAAAGGGTCCAAGCGGCAGGCCAAGCGATTTCAAATCGGCCTCCGTTAGCAGCATAAGTGTCTCCAGATCAATTTCCTGTTTCTGAAAACTAAAATATACGAATTAGACGTGAACCATTGAGTATTTGTGTTATATACGCACACAGGTAAATATTCGTCTAATGCCCACACAGTGAGAAAGCGTTGCAGCGCGCTGGCCGACACCTGTTCCTCGTCCTCATCATCACTGTAGACATCATCGCCAGCGCCGTCTGAGTCGGAGTCATCGGATAAATTCAGATACAAGCGCGCTTTGGTGTTATTTTTATTGTTATTGCTGCTGCTTGCATTTCGCATGGTAGAGCTGGAGACGCTGTCGATGCCATCAGATTGCAGCTGCAGTTGACTCAGTGCTGCGGTCACCGACCGGCGAAAGGCAATGCTGCCCAGCATGGTGGGTCGATCGAAGAGGCCGACCGGTCGCTGCAGCACCTGTAGCTCCTCGTTTAACTCCTGCGAGAGCTGTGCATCTCCTAATATATCTGGCTGTGAGAAGCTGCGTGCCAGCGCCGTGCTATAACCCAGACGACCTACATCTTCATCATCCAGTTCGAAGACATCTGCAATCTTGCCACGCTTGCCCTCCTGCTCATCCGTGGAGCTAAATGTGCCCACATAGAGCACCTCCGAGTCCCTTTGCAGTCCTGTTAGCGATGTTATTGTACGCTTGCCATCCGGCTCCAGTTCACGCACCTTGAATCCGCCATCATTAGCCAGAGCATGTGGACAAGCTTTAGAGTGCTGTGACTTCCCCTGCTGTTGTTGCTGCTGCTGCTGCGACTGTGACTGCTGTGGCGGCTTCTTTTGCACTGTACCCATGCGACTGGCAATGGTAGAGCCGCCGCTGCTGCTGCTGCTGCTGCCCACCAGATCGCTGAATTTGGTAGGGGGTATGCGAGCTGTAGCTGCTGCTTGCTCCCTTGGCGTTTTGTTCAGATTGCCCTGGCTGGACCAAATCTTTTGCTTCAACGTAGACAGCATGTTGCTCGACTTGCTGCTGCTGCTGCTGACCAAGGTTTGTGCATTGCTCGGCTTTAGATCGCTGTAATCGTGCATTTGCTGTTGCTGGCGCTTCATATATTCCTTAACGCGTTTTTCGCACTCCTTTTCAGCTATTTCCTTGAGGGCTTTCGCCTTTTTTCTGTAAATTCAATAGATTAATTAATTTGTCAAGTGAACTCATTTGAATTTATTCAAGTTTGCCACACAGTCCTTATAATCGATAGCATTTCTTGCGATATTGAAAATTAACTCAAATTGGTAAGGCATTTGCTCTTTATTATTTATTGTATGTTATCGATAGGGTCCCTTGCGATTATTTCCGAGCATAACAAGCAAGGCTGTATGGCTTTGCAAACTCGACAGTCCTCGTATGCTATCGATAACAATAATTGCAATTAATTTCGTGCACAATGTTTCACATTATATCACACTCTAATTATTCAAATTCTTAGCTTCGCGCCTTACTTTTCATTCGCCTCAAAATTGGCTGCAGCTGCGTCTAAATAGCGCAAAATCTCATCGCGATTATTAATGGCTGCCAGGTCCTTGGCATTATGTCTGTCAATATCCAGTGCATATATATTAACACCGAATTTAAACAGAAAGTCAACACAATGCAAATGTCCCTTAGCGGCAGCCAAGTGAAGCGCTGTATTCCCAAATTGATCGCACTTATCCGGATCGCCACTGTAGAAGAAGATTAATTTTGCTATATGAACGCCATTTCTGGTTTTAGTATTATTTAGTATTTCGTACCCTCTGCCGCAGAGCAAACGCAGCGCATCCAAGCGACCTTCGAAAGCTGCCCACATGACCGGCGTCATTGAATCATCGTCCTTGGCGTTGGCATCCTTCCGTGTTGCCTCCTTCAGCACATCAAGCAGCCCGTCTTTGGCGGCTCTATTCGAATAGTCGAAAGCAAAGATCAATTAATGATGCTTGTAGCTCTGATAAGATATGTACAATATTACGAGGTAGCATTATTAATTGCATGTTCCTTACTCACTTGTGAAAACGATCTGAAGTCATTTTACCACTTCTTATCTATATTTGTGTATTTCCATAGACTGAACCTAAGTTTGTATAAAAAAACAAATTACGTTTGGTCCCAGTAGGCCGGCCTCAACTCACTTTCGTCGATTTACTTATAATACGATACGATTTTTTCAGATACGATTCAGCTCTCAGAACTCACACATATATAGCATATATATATTTATATATTTATATAAATAAAAACCATATTTTACAAAAGAAAAATTACGTATTCAGCATCGAGAGAATGTCTAAAGTCGGCAAGGATCCCAATAAGAGGGTGAAGAAGCAAAATTTTAAAAAGAAAATGACTAAGAAGCCCCTGAAGCACAGTGTGCAGACGCAGATCAAGTCAAATGGCAAAAAGTGGCTAGGAATGGAAAACGGATGCAATTGGGTATCATTCAAAGATATCAAGAAGGATGCATTGACGCCACCATCGATCAACAAAGTGGATAAAGTGGATGATTAAATTATATTTCAACACAAATTTCATATTGTCCATAACTACTCATACTTCTATGGACACATATGCAACACACAAATTGGGTTTAATTTTGTTTCCATAACAAAAATAAATAAAAAATCTATACGTGACGTATAAATATTGTTTTCATGAATACAGACATATGCGAAGGTAGTCTGACGGCGAGCTTAAGGCGAAAAAATAGAACAGATTTAGTTGAAATGGAAACTTCTTAAGGCAGCCTCGCATATATTGCATTACAGGTAATTTTTCTGATGTCTGATTTTCACGCCCAGCCTCGCTGCATTTAAATCGTCTTTCAGATAGTTTGCGCATTTTCCAACACTAGCTACATGAATAGCGCAAAAATCAAATGCTAATGTTAATGTTTAGCGATTGCTATATTTGCTTAAACAAAGTAAGCCTGTTGAACATAATTCGACTCGCATCCGATACGTTTGAAAGCTCACACTCACATATATATTTAAGTATTATACATTCACTGTATATATATATTTTGTACCATCGATTCGAAGTCAAGTCTGCTGGAATGGATCAACAGCTATCTTTAAGCTTAAGCCAACTGGATCTGAAAGTTGAGCCCATCGCCAAGGAACCCGTATTTGCGTCCATTGAAGAAAATCCATTCTACGAACCCTACAAACACACAGATCTCGTTCTATGGAAGAGGGAAACTGACTTGACTCAGCTCAAATTGAAGACATTAAAAAAGAAGAATATCTTACGAAAGCCAATTTTGCAGCGTTTGCAGAGCCAATCGCAGAATTTGGGAAAGAAGTGGCTGGAACATTGCAAATCGGAAATGGAAACTGAAATCACCTGGGTAAATTTTACAGATATTAAAAAGTCAAAAGGGAAGCGAGCATATAGCATGAGCGACTTGAGGAATGAGTGCGATAAGATCCCATATGAAATGGGCGACATTAATATTGATTCACTTTTCGTGCCAAAGCGAATGTCTGAAATGGCAGAAACAATGTATAGTTAAATTGTTACCAAGTACTTTTCAGTTAATTCTTTTCATTCAAATCAATTTGTTAATATTCCGTTAAGCCCAACGTACGTTAAGAACTCGTCAATTACATCTCAAAAAGAAATCGACCTCAAACACCAAATTCTTATTAGATCTATTCACACGGTACTCATAAAAAAGTTTGTACGACACTTTCAGTGAAGTGAAAAGGAAAAGCTCAAACTCGAACATACGTTCCGGTTGGAGTTCACATACACGCGCTCGCACACATGCACAAATACGATCATGCTGTACATACAGTTGGCCAAAAGAAATTAATGGTATATAAGCATGTATGTCTGCAGTACACTCAGCTATATACACACACATGCGCACACCCTACCAAATAACAAGTTCACTCAACCTTATTTCTTGGCTACGAATTGCCCAAAATAATAAAACGAACTGCGAAGGCACTCGACCATTAAGTGTATACAAACAATAAAGTCTGTTATGTTTATTTTCTTTTTTTTTTGGCAAAGTTCACACACGATTTTCCAACAGCTTGACACTTTGTTATTGTCGCAACAACAAGAGCTGTGGCTTTTCTTTTGCGATCAGCGGAGTAGACAAGTGTCTACCGTCGAGTGTTGTTTGGCAACTGAAACTCTAATTGGAATTGAAACCGGGAGCGGTAATTGCCGCAGAGAGTGCGCCATTCAATGCGGAGTTGCCAGACTACAAAGCAAACCAAAGCTTAGAAATTTCAAAATTATGCTGTTCCAATCAACTTTGCAATCAGCTCTAGTTTTATATGAGCTATGATTTTCTATTTAAAACAGTAGAATAATTACATTAAACTATAAAATTTGATATTACTTTTAAAATAAATTATGCTTTAATTTAGCCATCGATTACTGCTAAGCTACGTGTTATTAATGAACAGCAGCCCTGGTTCTATATCCACGTTATCGATACATCGTTGCGATAGTTATTTTAGGGCCAGCAATTTTGCAGAAAAAACGTAGCCTCGTGAAACACACACAAAACATAAATATAAATAAAAAATTTAATAAGTAACTATAAATAAATATTATAATGAATTACTCTGCGTAATGTGGTGCAATATAACATACATGTAAAATGTGAAATATACTGAGATAGACGAATTCACGCACATTTGTGGTGGCTTGCTGACTACTACAATTGCATATGTATATGTGTATGTATACACCCATACACAAATACATACACACATGAGTTTGCGTAGGAGGGATCAAAATAACAACAGCAGCAGCAGTAGCAACAGCAACAAGGAACTCTTTAACATATGCTCGATGCATCAATGGTGCATTAGCATTACCCGCGTGCAACAGCTCGTCAACGTTCCATGGAAATTCCAGTGCCAATGTCAAGCAGTCAATGTCAAGGCGAGCTAACGCTAGCTAAGTAATTAATCTAAACACAAACACACACATACACACACATATAGCCATAGCCCATAGTAGCCAAGTTAAAATATAGACAAGTGTCAACACAGGAACACATACACAAACAAACACGTTCATACACAAAAATCAAAATAATCAAAGCAAAGTAGCAGCCAAGAGAATATTGTTAAATTCAATCAATCCGTTGAAGAAGCGTGCATCGCACTATGGGCAATTGCCTGAAATGCTTCCAGTCGTCGTCGTCTTCGTCCGCCGCACCAACGTTGCCAACAAGCCAATCATTACCAAACGCATTGCAAAATCTGAATGCCAACAACAGCTGTCAAGCGGCCACCAGCATTGGCAACTGCTACGATATCGCTCTATCTAATGCGAACGACAGGCCACGAGGTGAGTCAATCTCTACTCTACTATATCTGTCCATATAAAAACCATTTAATACTTGCAGAAACTGATGAATTGCTCTCTAATCGAACTCCACTCAAGCCAGCAAATAATTGTGATACTAAGCGTAATAGTTTTAAGTCCTTAGGCTTGCTTAATGGCAGTGCGCCAACCATGAGCGAAATTATAACAACTGGCAAGTGGGAGAAAAGGGAAACCACACATTCAGTGGACTAATAACAAGAATTGTTCTCATTATAGCAGTCAAAGAGTCCATGGAGGTGTCACATCAAACGCTAAATAAACTGTTTGAGGTCTATAAAGATCCCGATGACGAAGATATGATACTCACGGATGGCATTGAACGATTATGCATTGATCTTAACTATCAGCCGGATGAGTTTGCAATTCTTGTGCTTGCCTGGTGCTTGGATGCCTCACAGATGTGCCGCTTCACCAAAACGGAGTTTATTGATGGCCTGCACAAGATGCGCGCAGATACAATTGAAAATATACGTTTAAGACTTGAGCATACAATTGAGATGCTTAAAGTTGATTCGGAAATGTTTAAGCAGCTCTATCGTTTTACCTTTCGGTGGGTTAATAAGTTCTTATATTTATTTTATATATTTAATTGTGTGTTTGCTTTGCAGTTTCGGCTTGGAGCCAGATCAGCGCGTTTTATCGCTTGAAATGGCAATCGATTTGTGGAAACTTGTGTTCACTGTACAAACACCTGATCTCTTTTCAAACTGGGTTAACTTCCTCGATAAGCATCCGAACATACGACGCATACCCAAGGATACATGGAACATGTACCTCAATTTTACTGAACAATGTGATATAGACAATTACGATGATACCGAAGCGTGGCCAAGTCTCTTCGATGACTTTGTCGAATATGAAAAGAATCGTGCTCTGGAAATGGTCACCGTCCACGATGATGATAACAACAATGATGATCCATTGCAATGCCATGTCAAAGCCGGTGGCGATATGCGTCATGTGTCATAGTTTAAGCTTGTCAGCCAGTAGCTTAACATAGAACCCCAATCCCAAAACCCCCACGCCCAACATACCCAACCATTTTTAAGGGACAAGCAACGTTCAATAGAAATTTAAAGCTGTACAATTTTAAAGACGATATTTATTTACGCGCTCTCTCTCAATCTTATCGATATCGTTGGTATTATTTTTTCTTTGTTTTTGTTACTTGGAACACCTTTGTAGTCGGTCATAGATCTAAACGATGCGGTGCTGGCGCTGCTTGGATGATTCACAACCAACTCGAACAAAAGAGAAAACTGCTCTCACAGCCAGTCAGACGACAGCCAGCTAGCTGATAATTTAAACTGCAAACAATTTAACACTTAAAAAGCAAAAAAGGGCAACGGACGCATTTGTTTATAAATTTTAAAGACTTATCAACAAGAATTTCGAAAAAAGCTCAATCATACGAAACCAGATGTGTATATAGAATATGTACTAAATGACTTGATTCAACTAGAAGAGCAAACATCTTTTCAATGTGTGCAAAAATCGTATATATACATATATATAAATTATAGCAATTAACTGATGTATTATTTAAAAGCAAAAACAAAATATTAAAAGATTGCATCATTTTATGGCACTTACCTATTTAATTGCATTACAATTACATACTTAGCTCTAAGTAGTGGATGTGAATTAAATAAACATAAACTAAACTAAACAAACTAAAATCTTTATATTTAATAAATGTATCAGATCTGCAAAGCTTTATTATATACAACGCATGTTCAAATTGCAAAAAAAAAATTATTTATAGATTTTTTAATTTAAATAATTATTTTTATATATAAATTTTAATCTATTGTTTATTTTTTTAAATTGTCTACACATTTGAGCGATTGCTTACTATCGATAGTGCAATCGATATTTGTTGTGTGCGCCTATCGCGTTTACCAGTGATGTGTTGACTATTGTGCACAAACGCATGCACATACGTGCATATATACATATGTACGTGCGTACTTATTGCATATTGATAAAAATTGTAAAAATCCGCTTGGCTATTTAGTTTAGAGGCCCCGATGAGTAAGTAGTTGTCTGAAACGATTACCTCAGCTGGGTGGCGCGGCAGCTGCGCCAAAATATTACGCGCATTCTAGGCGAATTGATTCACGATTTGACATTGAAAACAGAAATTGCGATGAAGAGTTGGTCGTAGAGAGGAGCAAAGGGCAAGGTAACGTTCGATCGAAAGGACATACACGCGCGCACTCACACACACACACAAAAACACAACTACACCAATAAGAAGATGCCCTGTGAAAGCTGTGGCATTGAATTCACGGTATTTCGCCGTAAACGCAGCTGTTTCGATTGCAGGTAAGTTCGAAATTGATACTCAATAGCTTTATTTGGTACTATCATACATTAAAATACTTTTTTGCAGGCGCTATTATTGCAATAATTGCCTGATTGGAATCACGACAACGACGACGTTGACATCGACGTCGCGTCGCTGCCAGCGCTGTGCAATATTTGCTCAACGTCCTCTGTTGCGTACGGATTTGCTAAAGCTTAAGCCAAAGGATTTAATATTCTATTTGCAATCCAAACACATTTCCACTGAAGGCTGCCTGGGTGAGTGCTGACTGCTCCGATCATATATTTCAATATAAAATCAAAATGTTTTGTCTTCTGGACATTGCAGAGAAGGAAGAGCTGGTTGGTCTGGTGCTGACGCATGTCGCTCAGTCGGATCGTGAAAGGGGTTGTCCGCCCAATCAGAACCAGAGTCCGGGTCGTGGCCAAGCCAATCCCATGGACAGTCTGAAGCAATCGTGCCAAAACTTTTTCACCAATCTTAGTGACAATATCAGTGATTCCTTAGCGTCCTTTGACACAAAATCTAGTTCCAAATCCACGTCGAACAGTCGTCATGCACCCAATGATAACGGAGCTCCACCTCCACCCACGCACATCTTTGAGCAGCCGCGCGTGTCCACAAGAGAAATTCCAACGTACGCCAGTGCTGGCGGCGCTCAGCAGACGCCTGCTCGAACGCCCAGCATACATCGTACCAATTCGACGGAGGTGGCGCATGTGCATGTTAGTCCATCCACATCCTCCACTCATACGGCGACTTCGCCCACGGCCACACAGGAGCACAGAGCTTTGGCTACGGAGGCGGCCCGACTGCTGCAACAGGTTGAGCCTGATAACTCGGAGTGTGATTGCTCGGACGATGAGATAATAACCACGTTCAGTGAACGCACATCGCTTAAGAATAGCGACAACAGCGCTGGCCCAGCGAGCAGGCCAACACTGGAGATTAGCTCAGCTGGTCTAACGCCGACAACAGCTACAATAGCAACAGCAACAACAGCCACAACAGTAACAACAGCCACGACAAGCACCAGTCCGGGCTACTCCAAACAGGGCTCACTTAGCTCTAAAGTGGATGCATGCGGTGCCGATGCCTCGTCACAGTCCAGTTTCGAGGAACTGGGCGCTATAGGCGGCATCTCCGATGAGAGCAAAGCTACGACCGATACGAATAGCAGTAACTTAGATCAGTGGCAAATACTTGAGCAAACAAGTAGCAGTCAACTGCCACAGCAGCAGCAGCTGCTGCAGGACCAACAACAACAGCAGCTGCAAGTCGAAGCGGCTATTGATGAAATTTTACAGGTGACGGTGCAAAATGAGCCGCAGGCTCCACAGCGCATTAAAAAGGTCACCCGACGACGTTCCGAAGGCTATTTGAATCGTCGCCATCAATCGAGCGATGATGATGACGAATCACCGGTGGGTCCCCTCAACGGTTTGGTATTAAGTACGCTCAGCGAGCAGTCTGAACCGTCGATAACCGCTGTTGCCTCCACTAGCTGTCAGCGTTGTGGCAAGAATAAGACGAACATCAGGCGACATGTGGATAAAATGCGTCGACATTTGGAGAATTCACAGATGTCCGAGGCAGACATAAAGCGTGAGCTGCAAGAGTTTCTCACCTACCTGGAGCAGCGCACCAAGTCTCTTGAGTGTTCCGATGCGGACAGTCACGCTGTTTCGCCTCTGAGCAGCATAGAGGCTGGTGCGGCAGGTGTTGCGCGTCCGCTACCTATAACACCTACGATTGAGTTTTCGCCCACACAGGACGAGCACGAATCGCATTGGGAAGATGACGAGGGCATACATGTGTACGCCTCGCCCTTGGGCTTTGAGCCGCCCAGCAGCTTGGATTCACGCTTCGTGAACTTGGAAGAGTTTGAGGATAGGTAAGTAGATGCAGCAAGTGAACCAAAGAATCAGATAACATATCATGCCTTTACAGAAAAGACTTGGAGAACTTGACTGTGAAACAGTTAAAGGAGGTTTTAATGTTGCATCGCGTCGACTACAAAGGCTGCTGTGAGAAGCAGGAGCTACTCGATCGTGTGTGTCGACTATGGAAGACAATGCGAACAGCGCCAGGTAAGTCAACACAAGCTCACGTTAACACATATACATACAAGATGTATTACATGTATAAATATATATAGCTGTTGAAAAACTTGCCACAGACGAGCTGTGTAAGATCTGCATGGATGCGCCGATTGAGTGCGTCTTTCTGGAATGCGGCCACATGGCCACCTGCACCAACTGCGGCAAGGTGTTAAACGAGTGCCCGATTTGTCGACAATATATTGTACGAGTTGTAAGATTCTTTAGGGCGTAATATTCTAAATTTTGCAGCCGATGATACATAGCTTTGCTTATTATAATTCTTTTTAATTTATACTATGTGAAAAAGGAAAACGGTTAGGGCCAAGTGAATTGTAGCTCTGTACATATTGAGAGTATGTAAGAGCTAAACTGAAAGCACTAGATGTGCTTTAGCTATAAAGTTGTTCAATGGGTCTTGAATGCTCAATAGCAGCAGTTGAACGTTAAACTCTGAAAACAACTTTGTTTCGTTAAAGTTAAGACAGCTCAGTTTGTGCTGGCAATAATAACAATTGTGTTTTATTTTAATATTTTGCTGCAAGCCCAGAAATACAACTTTAAAAGTTTGTATTTAATTAAATTTGTGAAATACGTGACCTTTGTTTTGTTTTTATTTTGCTATTTATTTAACCATTTCCCCCGTGTTGTTTCTATATGTGTGTGTCGAGTAGTAGACTTAGCTAAGATAACATTCCTAAATAAATTGTAAATGAAGGAATCTATATTTAAAAACTGTTGTAACAAAAAACTCTTCTAGTTTGCGCATTTACATTTAAATAAACAGTCAACACATATTTCATTAAAGTCAGCCTTGAATTTGAATTTGAATTTTGTGCGTATGACAGATAGCGAAAACTATCGTCTATCGATTAATTATGTTTGGCGCTTTCGCAACACTGTTTTGGCGTTGAACTTGGCTAACTTTTTGAAATGCACAAACTCAACGGAAAATAGCGTAAGAAATGTGTTTTTTTTCTGCCTACTCTGATAATTATATAACATTCGATTAGTTTGTAATTCAATTGAAAACAGTCTTTATTGTAAACTAAATAATAATTCTTATTTTAATGACAAGGGCTAGTTCTACAGTAGCCTGATGACTAGAGATAAGCGGCAGGATATTAACTCCTTCAACTTCTGTGCACACGCAAATCAAGCGGCGCTGGCGTGTCCATATCCATGTCCATGGACAGGTCCTCGCTGTGCAGATAGCGGTAATTGTGCTGCCAGTAGGAGGAGGAGGAGGAGGAGGAGTTGGTATATTCGCTATTGTGCTTGGCTGGCAGTGAATAATCGCTTGCCACGTTGTCACGCTCGGCCAAATCTAGATAGTAGCTGGAGGCGGTTTCAGCTGCAGGTGCAACAGGTGCTGGCAGGCAGGTGGTGTAGGCTGACTCGCTGGCATCCAGCATACAAGTGGCTGTCTGACTGGCAATCAGCTGAATGCTGTGCTTGAACGTCTTCACATGCTTGCGCAACGAGGAGGGATCCGTGTAGCGTTTCTGGCATCCCTGCACCTTGCACATATACGGCTTTTCCATGGAGTGCGTGCGCGTGTGCTTGAACCGATCCGACGAATTCGAATAGGCCTTCAGACAGCCCTCAAAGTGGCACTTGTAGGGCTTCTCGCCCGAATGCGAGCGTATGTGTATCTTCAGATTTTCAGCACGCGAAAAGGACTTCTCGCACAGATGGCAGCGATGCGGCTTCTCCTTGGTGTGGGTGCGCACATGGACCAGCATCTTGTAGCGCGCATTAAAGCCCCGATCGCTGCGCTGACAGCCGCTCCAGCGGCAATAGTAGAGACCATCGTGCAGCGAGGCGATGGCATGACGTAATGTGACGTGTTGTGCGAGCGCCTCCAAAGATTCGAAGACTCTGCAAGGACAAAGCAAACAAGTTGTTAAAGGATATATGTCTACAGTTGTGTGCCAAATATTAGGCATGCTTTGCAATTGGATAAGAAATTATAGAAAAATGATAATATTAAGAACTTTTATTTATTTTTAAGAGTATTTTAAGTTTGTTTTTCTTTTCTTTTTTTTTTTGTATATAAATTGCTGCGTACCTATTTTTATGCAGTACTGTTAACTTACCTCGAACACTCGTGCCAATTGCATATGAAATCGCAATCGCTGCAGCTGCTGCTGCCGCTTTGATCGCTGCAGGATGTGTGTGTGGGTGAACCGGAACCGGAACCGGAGCCAGACGTGGGGCACTTCATGATGACGGACTGTGTGCGTGAAACGGAAGCGGCGTCAGCGGTGGCTGCAACTCTCGGCGGTGTGATCGGCGGAGTTGGAAATCTGATATATTGCATTTGCGGCAATTGCTGCTCGCTTAGCCAACTCCCGGCCACCGGCTGTATTATATACGGCGGCGTACTGTACGGCGTATAGACAACACTTGATGGCGGCTCGTAGTATACGCTATTGGAGAAAATTGGTTTTTGTACTAAGATATCCATTTTGTGTGTGAAATTTGATTCTTTTTGTTTTTCTTAAGTTTTTTTTGTCTATTGCTGCGTAGTGTTCGCTAGTGCGATTGTTAAACGAATGAGCCGCTCGCCTGCAGACATTCGTGTAATATTTGAAAGCGATAAGGAGCAAGAGCGAGCGAGCGCACGAGCGGCACAAAAAGATAGAGCGAGAGAGAGGGACTGTGCTTATCAGCCAGCCCCCAAAGCGAAGGCTGTGCACGCAGACAGGCCAACGGGAGACGGGGAGTCGAACCATCGAGCAGTCGTCGGACATCCGAACCAAACCAAAAAGCAATGAGCCAAGTTAGCTGCGTGTGCGTAAAAACAACAGCAGTAACAAAGTGTTGTACATGCCAGCGACAGCTATGAGCAGGGGGTGTGGGGGCCTGGCGCTGGCTTCATCCGGCGCACATGTGATGTACGTGAGTGAAGCACCGTATTGGCCTGTGCGAGATGCAGGGGGCAGGCGCGTGACTAGCGGCTGAGGCTGACTTTTGCCTTATCAGTGAAACGCACAAGTGGAAAATCGGTCTAGCCGACGACCAGTTGGCATGTGTGTGGACAATGATCAACAGCAACAAAAGTCAACAGCTCTTTGCGGGGGTAGCAGCTGAGATAGGAAATTGCACTTCGCACTCTCTCGCCTTCTCGCTCTCTTCCCCTCTCTGTGTCCGTCGCTCAGTCAAGTCGCAAAAGCGCCTAAGCTGAAATCCCCCACAGCAGTTGACTGTGCTACGCTGCAGATAAAGACGTCTCACGCTGCCGTTATCGATCCGAGCCGCCTATTTTTTACTGCCGTTCGGGCCAAGTCAACAATGTGCAAACAATGCCTTTCGTATCTACGACGATGACGCTCACTCAATATAGTTTTTTGTTTTTTATTTTGGAACAGGCGAGGCATTTGCCAATTCCCGGCCGTCTTATCAATGGGCAGACTGTGTAGTGTCTTCCACGGCTGTGGCCGGGGTGTGCGCGGTATTTGCTGTCAGCTCTGCTGGGTGGTTAACTCTTATCAGTTGGCAAAGCAGTCTGGTTACCCATTTGATAGGAAGTGAATCACATATGCTGTGCAGCTACTCCAATCGCGGGGGCCTTACATAAATAAGCACTCGGAAATGGTATGACATCAGTGGCTACGATTAGCTCAAGGCGCCTGATACGACCATCCGCCCACCCCTCCTTCCTGCCGCAATCTGACCCCACCAGGCGTTCAATGTCAGTCGATTGCAACAGGTGCATCCAAAGTTTGTAATCGAAGTGCGCAAAAAGACAAAGTCATGATTTATTTTTAGATTAACTTACAGATACGAAATCGGGGAATCGCCCTCTGGACTGCTGTTAAAACCGGCACGAAGTACAGTTGCGACATTCTTTCTGGACTTTTTGTCTACGCATCGTAATTAAGCTTCGATAAAATCGTAGGGTTGAAGTACATTCAAGTTTGATAAACATTATTTTCTACAGCCAACTATGTTATTTATCAAATGCTGTCGAAAGGTTTTATAAAGCCAATTCATGAATTTTCATTTATAGTATATACTGTTTGTTTATTGAGACTCTGGCTTTTGGTACGTTTTCTGTTACGCCTTGAATGTATAATGTGAATGGGTTCCTATCTTAATTCCATAATTATGTCTGCGTTTGTATAACAGCAAGGCAAGGTCACACTATTACAGGCAGGCTAAATGAGGTAAGATGATTGTTATATGAAGACAGCTAGACTCTACTGCCCGCTTAGCTGAGAGTACAGTAGACAAGTAGAAGGATAACAACTAGCTTTTAATTCAATAGCCAGCTTATCGTTAGCTGATGTGCTTAAATATAACATATAACAGTGAGCTTATAGGGTAACAGCCAGCTTATTGCATAACAGATAAGTTCTAGTTAGTCAGATTGAAGTATATCAGCCAGATTATAGTATAACAAGGAGCTTCTAGTATAACAGTATGGCTTGAACAGAACAATGCGATTATAGTATAACAGTCTAGTTGTGGCATAACAGTGTGCATTTAGTATAACAGACTGGTCATAGTATAAGTGTTTGCTTGTAGTATAACAGGGTTGTTGTAGTATAACAATATGGTATAACAGCCTAGTATATCAACCTGGTTAGATATAGTATAACAGTCTAGTTATAGTATAACAGTCTAGTTATAGTATAACAGCTTAGTTATAGTATAACAGTCTAGTTATAGTATAACAGTCTAGTTATAGTATAACAGTAAAGTTTTAGTATAACAGCCTAGTATATAATCATGTTTATAGTATAACACTCTGCTTACAATGGTTACATGGTTAACTTATAACAGTTAGCTTGGCATATAACAGTCTAGCTTTAGCTTGGCTTGAATAGATTTTAGCCATGTCTAAGAAAAACTTTTCTGCATTCATACCTCCATTATTATTATTATTATCATTGTTAGGAATCTTCCAGTACAGGTCTTTTAGCTAATAATATACAAATAAAAACACAATATAAAAACTTCGATACCCCTGACCCCAAATTATTGCACAACATGTGTATTATTCCATCATATAAACAACGAAATTATATGTATATAATATATATATATACATATAATATATATATATATATATATATATATATATGTATTCATGTATGTATATATACATTTATGTGTCTATACTATAGAATCTGGATTTTCTGGTTCCCCTGAAAGCTAAAAACTGAACTTTGTATGGCGCGAGCTGCGCTTCACAGTTGATAAGCGACCACACAAATGAGCTCAACTATTGTCCAGCAACAGCTGAAGAAGCAGAAGAAGAAGCAGAACAACAGGCTAAAGAAAGAGCATCCCTGAGACAGATAAGCGACAGAGAAACCTCTCGTTCAGAGAGGTGAACGCGTGCGGCGCACAACATTTTTCCGTAGTAAAATATTCAAAATAAAACAAGTGGTGGGCGTGCCCGACTAGTAAATACCCCAGCTATGACCTATAAGTCAAAAAGAGTATGAGATTGATGATACAATCTCTGTAGATGTATGACATACAGTACAAAGTTGATCGATTTCAGGGAAATCGAAGAAGTCATCGAGAACTTTCAATTTCAAGTTCAAGTTCAAATTTCTAGCTCTTATATAACATATCTTATCGACACTTTGTCTGTTACGCCTAAACTGGATATGACTTATGATATGCATTAAGCAGTCTTCTGGCCGTTGCATACATCCTCCCATAAACCACATACCCCATTTGCCCATTATCAATTGTTCACAGGGTATCAATAGAAATAAAAGAAAACAAACCCCGGCGAGTGCGCCTTAATGTAGCAAAAATACACAATAACTGGATCGTGCCAGTTTTACTGGTCGCACTGTCATATAATGATGTTCAATATTTCTATCAAATTATAACAACATATACTTGAGCTGATAACCAGCCCAGGGGTCTAACTGACTGACTGACTGAATGGCTGGCTCTGGCTGGCTGATTGGGTTTGGCAGAGGTGCCAAATGGGCATGCGATAAGCCGGAACGGAACGAGTCGTGCATATTGGGGCGTACGTACGCTTAAACCCAGATTCGTATAGCTTTCTAGATGGTTTATCAAAGGCCCAGCCTCTCATTTTTATAGTCAATATATATACTATATAAACATATATGTGGGCTATATAGCCTGATTTATAGCCTTAGCTATCTATCCAGTATCTATTGTATATGAGTCTACGGAGGGCATGTTAGAGTGTTTCAAATAATTATTCCAAAGCTTTTCTAACTACAACTTCATCAAATGCTATGAAATATACATATATATACGAGGGTGGTTTCACTAACAAAAGCTAAATAAAAAAATATAAAATGAAATATTTTAAGCAACACAATTTAAAAAATATAAAAAATTTAATTTAATGTTATTTAAATTATTTAGATATTTAATTTATTTTTTTTCTTATTTTATTTAAATTATTTTTTGATCAAAAGAAAATAGAAAAAAATTAAAAAAAAAAAACATAAAAATATTTATTATATATATATTTATACATATAAATTTTTAACTAAAAATAAATGTATTTGAAATTCCTGAACGTCACTCAAAGCCTACAAAAAGGCGCATCAGGCAAATGCAGATTAAAGCAGATAAAAAATCACAATTAATTTCTTAAAATTAATAGATCCACTAACTATACAAACCACCCTCGCCCATAGGCAGACGTTCAAAGTCTAGACCACAATATAAAACGCATCAAAATCAAATATCGAAAACCTTTTGCATGCAATTGAGGCATGAAACTCCACTGTTGGCCCTGTCTGGTCCCAAAATGTTATCTCAACCGCAGACAGTTTTGATATGCAGCAAAAAATATAGCTAAGAACAGTGCAGTCGGGTGTAAGAGACTGCACAATACTCGTTTAGAATTGACGAAAAGTTTTGTTGCAATAAAAAGCTGAAAATCAGTCGGCTGGGAAGCAACTCAAGAACAAAATTAGACTTATCTAGCTTTAAAGCTTTGATAGATATCCCATTAAAGTAACTGAAAAATCTTAAAACTAAGAAACTAAGGTGTGAATAGGAAGGAGTATATATACCAAAAATGTGCACAAAGAGGCAATATACTCTCCTTACGCTAACTGAGCAGGCATAAAACAAAATTCCAAATGAAAATGAGAATGAAATATCATGCCAAACCTTCATGGGAGCCGCCAGTAGTAGTAGCTTGAATAGTAGACCCAATGGCTATAGCAACATGTACTATATTTATTAACTGCTTTGTTGTTGTTGTAGCTGATACTGCTGACAATATCTCGTCTAGACTGCCTATTATTAGAGGCCAACAAATATTTATGAAATTCATTGTTATAAATTATGAAGCAAAAAATTTCCACAAGCAGCGATTAGTTCGATTACTATGGTAAAGCTGTAGGAAAATGATCCGCAGTCGGTTTTGGTTGGGTTCTCAGTAACTAAGCTAAATTCTTAAATTTGTTTAGGCAAGCTTTTAGCTATATTATAGCTGCCCAACATATTTGATCTACTAAGCCAATAAGAACTAATCTAAGCTGGTTTTAGCTATATCTAGCTATGCGACAGTTGAGTCTAGCTCTTACGCTCATCTAACTATAACATAACTAGAGTTTTAGCCTTTTCTAGCTATGGTTTAGCTAAGCTATAAGCTATGTCTGGCTAATTTTAGCTAGATGAGAACCAAGAGCACTATATAGCCACAAAATAGCTAAGCTGAACTTTAGCTTTCTCTAAGCTCAGCATTTAGCTGTATGAATTTCTGATTGAAATTGTCTAGTAAGAAAAAATTGTCTTAAAATGTATTTTAGCTATATCTAACTGAATGATAGCTAAATTTGTGTTTGACTATAGCTTTTCGCACGTCTGTCAAGTTTGTTTTGAAACTAGTATGCTTCGAATTATTGATAAACAATTGACAGGTTTTCCTTAACTCCATAAATAATAGATAAATTGCGCACAAATATTTACAGTAAACGGCAACAACAATAAAAACCCTGATGCAATCTCTGGTTCCAATTACATGTCTGCCCAAAAAGTTCACAGCACGCGTAGCAAAAATATATTAAAAAAAAAACTTATCAAGTTAATTTTTTTTGTTTTTATTATTTTCGGAAGATAGGTGCGGGGGTTTAGAGGGTTTAATGATAAGCCACAGGAAGCACTCAATACACGTGCGGGCTGTTAAGGCCAATCACACCTGTACCACACATACTCACACACGCACGTTTGCCAACACTGAGCATAGCACTTACACGTAGTCCAGTAGCACAGTTTTCTTTATAACAGTCTTATTTCGGTTAAGTTTTGAACAATACGTAGCTAATTGAATTTTTTTGCGCACGTTTGAACTTGTGATGCATATCGAACTGTCTTCGACATTGTCTGGAGCGGCTGACGCCACAACTCCCTGGGTGAGGTCCGTGGGGTCGCGGCGAACCAAAATAAACGCTTAGCAGTGAACCACACGGCGTGTGGATTGAAATATTGGTATATAAATAAGTGCAATACATTTGCCTGTTTTTAATCACAATTATAAATACATATTGAGGTACATAGGACAGCAGTCACAGCAGCAGCAACCACAGCAGCCTCACACGAACATCTCCAGGTTCTGTTTCATATAGTTGACCAAGGCAGCCTCGAATTGGGCATGTGTAACGCTGTCCATCTGCAGGTTGAAGCTCACGTAGAATTGGCGGCCATAGCGCTTGGCCAGCTTGTTGGCCAACACCACAGAATCGCTTTGTCCACTCTCGCCAAGAAATGTTGTGGAGACAATTTGCGTGCTGGGCGGACGGGATGGCATCGCCATGGCAAATTCATCCATTCGCTCAGCATTTGTATTGCTGAGTAGTATCATTGTGCTGCCGTTCATCTTGAGCACACGTAATGTTACCTGCACGGCACCCACAATCAGTTGAGCCATGTGCGAGGCAAAGGGCGCAGCTGATGCCGGTGCTGCAGCTGCTTCTGCAGTTGGCGTTTCTTCTTTCTTGGCAACATCGCCACAAGCAGCCTGCAAAACGGCACAGCTTTCCATGTTAATTGTTTGTTTTACGTTATAAAATTTAAAAATCGTGTTCGTTGCTACAACTTTAAAAATTTACAATGAAATGCAGATTTTTTGTTAGATCTCAGTGTTGCAAAACAATCAAATATTTGGCAGGGCTACAAGCTTGTTTACAAAGCTAGCTGTGTTGTATAACGCACGCGTTGACGCGCCAAAGCGAACTCAATTTAAATTTAAGTCTTGCATTCCCATCTTTCCTGGCGAATTGAATGAAACACAATTGCATTCGCCGTTCGCAGTGTTGTTTTCATTTTATTAAGGCTCGTAATTTAAATGTAGGCGTTTTTTTCGAATTAAAATACATATATATTACGATTTCGATGCTAGCTCCGAGCTTGTGTGGATATTATATATTGATGTGGAGCAGGTTTAGCTTGTTACGATTTATACTACTTAAGACAATATATGTATATGTATATATATGGATATATATTGAGAACTTTGTGTGTGCGAATAGCAAAGAAAGTATAAAGAATAGAGAAATTCATATCTTTGTTTCAAAATGAGAACATTTTGTGTGTAAAAAATCAGTTCAGGTTGAATTGCTCGAAATGAAATTCACTAATTTATATATATATAAATATAGATATATATATCTATACATATATATATGATTTGTTTATATATAAGCTGTGTGTTTAGATTTAAATATCATAAATTTAGTTTTTTTGTTTGTTTTTATTACGTTTGCGTCTATTGCCGTTTTATATATATTTTTTGTTGGTTAATTGTTGTTAAAGTTGCTTGAACTTGAATGAATATCAAATAATTTGGATTAACTTGTAGCGTTTTTTCTACTATAATTTGACTAACATTTTTGCAACCGCGATATCAACTTTCATCTTGTTTATATAATGTGTGTTTTAAATGTGTATTTTTTTTCGTATTTTTTTGTTGACTTTTGTGAATTTTTTTTAATGGTTAATTTTTTGAGTTTTTTGTTTTTTTTTTACGTTTTTGCTGGTTGCGAATAAATATATATATATATATAGAAGTGTTATTACATATATAGTGTGTGTTTTGGGTTATTATGCATCGTTTATTGATTGGGCGCTTCAATCCTCGTCGTCCTCGGATTCGGCTTCCTGCAGCCAAGTCAACCAGGCGTTCACCTGGAACAAAGCCGAACCCTTGCCTGGATATTTGTCCGATATCTCTTCCTTCCATAAAACGAATGCCTCCTCTTCAATGATCTCGGAATCGTAGAGATATTTAAACCAGCGACAGAGCATTCCTGCAAAATATCGACAAATATTAGAATATAGTTATGAAAGATAAATATTGATTTTTTTTATATCTTACCCTTGGGGAAGTTCTCGTTATAACAAAAAGACTGCAGTGCATAAAGCGCCATCAATTGTAATTCGTTTTGACCTAAGAAAGTCTGCAGCATTTGGCTGTAGGTCTCGAGCATGTTTTGTTCCTTCTGTGTTATCGATTTCTCGGGATGCTCTTTGGGATCGATGTTGCTGGCCAATGTTGTTTCCTTGGTGATGTATTTGACAACAACGGTCATGAGTGCCTGAATGAAGCCCGGATCCTTGTAGTATTTGTTATCTACGTTAGCTTTGACCCACTTGTAGAAATTATTTGGATTGGGATCGTTTTGTAGCTGTTTCAACATCTCTGCCTGCACCTTGAGCAATGGATAAAGGAAGGACAACTGCCGATCCTCTAGTATTTCCGCCAAACGCTCCTTGTTACGATCAACCTCGGGCAGGCTATTCATCAAATCAATTTTGCTAGCTCGGAACTTCTCCTCCAGCGCATCTTTGCCAATGGACTTGTGCAGCTGCTGTAGCACAAGCAAGAATAATGGATAATGCTGTCCATTGTCAGTATAATTGGCAATGTCGTTGAGTTTGATCAGTGCCGGCTCGCAGACCGCCTTGCTTAGCACGGAAGCCACCAAGGCTGTGATGCGTGGATTCAGTGCCTCGCGTTCGTTCATTTTATTGACCAACTGCTTGAAGATCTCAACGATGACATTTGGCTTGATGGTGGCCTGTTTGCGCAAGGTCTGCATGAAGCGCACGATGCGTTCCAAATAAACATCGTTGACTCGGTCCAGCACTTCCATCAATAGATTGAGACACACATCCTTGAGCGATTTCTCTGGCAGTTTTAGATCAACGAAGCCCTCGACTAATTCCATAAACTGATCGGGTTGACCATTGACTTTTTCCACTGTTTCCGATTCGGTTTGTTGTTCATCTTCATTCTCGATTTCTTGCTTCACAATTGGTTCTTCCGTTTCCAGTTCCTCATAGTAGAATTTCTCTTTGAAGTAGGCATGTGCCTTCTTCGTCAACTCTTCCTTGCTTGGTCCCTTATCTTTCTTCTGCTGTTTGCCGGAGCCAGAACCAGATGGTGTTGTTGGTCGCTCCATGGCACCATTCTTAGCGCTGTTTCCTAGCTGCTGCTGCTCCTTATTCTCATTTGCACCTGTCGCTAAGCCTGCTAATATCTTCTTCTCCTGCTCCAAGGCAGCTGCTTGTCCAAAATTGGGCGATGACGATGTTGCCTTTAGGCTCTTTTCGCCCAACTGTTGAACTGCGTGCAGTCCACGATTCTCGATACCATACTCCGCCGAGGGTGTGGACGATGGACGTGCCGGAGTGTTCATGAGATGTGATGTTGGCGTGCCCAGTAATGGATAGTGCGAGTTGGAAAGCTGCGATGTTGCCGATTGCTGTGCAGATGAGCTGCTGCTGTTGCCGCTTGGAGGCGTCGAAATGGGCAACGTGCCCGGGAATTTTTGATTCTGTGAGGCGGCGCGGAACAATAATGAATTGGCTGCCGGACGCATTTGAAGATTCTCAACCGAATCCTGATTGGTCGATATCAAATTGCGTTTGAAACGTGGCGCCAGCTCCTTGCCACCCAGCATCATTTGATTTCCACTTCCGCCGTATTGACCATCATTGCTGCGATCGTTGTTTCGATCATTGCTACGATGCGAGCCGCCACTGCCGCCGCCGCCACCACGTGAATCATCGCGATTGTTGCCATTGCCACCGTTGCCAGATCCATTCTGATTGTTGTGCTTGTTGTAGCGATTGTTGTTGTAGTTGCCGCCGCCGCCTCCACTACCCCCGCCGCTGTTGCCGCCCTGGTCACGATTGCGATCACGATTATTGTATTGGCGATTGTCGCGATCACGATCTCGATCACGATTATTGCTTGTGGCAAATCTGTAGAAAAAAGGAAAGATTGTATGAGTTTTCTTTGTATGAACTTTCTTCCTTACTCGTTCCCATAATACTTACGGTGATACGATGGGCGATGCGCCCGTAACACTTAGTCCGCTAAACATATCATTGTAGCCGCCAGGCTGTATATTCAAATGGAAGCGATTCATCCAGCTATCGCCGTCACGATCATTGTTGCGCATATCGCGATTGCGATTGGCGAACGGAGTGCGTATGATTGAGTCATCGTCCGAGCGTATTTGCTTTATCGGGACGGGTCCTTCGGCGCTGCCGCCAACTTTGCGTGGTATCCAATGATTTTGACGCAGCTCGATGACATCCTTTAGCATAAAGCGTATCCTTGGTGGATATTCAGTTGATTTTGAACGACGTTCCAACGTCTCAAAATACTGGTTCATCAGCTCTTTGCCCTGTTCTGAATCCAAATTCTTGCCGCAAGTCTTGAGCAATTGAGCCAGGCATTCCATGTCCTCGCACATCTCTTGCGCCCCGGCCGTACGTTTCTTCTTCTTATCCAATAGCTCCATAATGCATGAGTGCAGCACGTTCTTCGACAGCATATCCAACTTATTGAGTTCGCCAATAAATTTAACATTGCCCAGCATTCGCTGCTTGGCCAAATGGCGTCGCTCCTCTTCATCGGTCTCATTTTCTGGCGGTGGTCGATTATCGTTGGCCTCATCACGTTTCAAACGATTATTGAACTTGTCGCGACAGACGGCAATTAGAAGACGTAGAAATGTGCAGGAATTGTTTGGTTCCTTTTCAAATGATGGCGCTTCCTCGGACAAACGCTTGCACAGCTGTGCATACATAGACGAGTACTTTGGCTCGTCCAAGGCTTTATCAAAGATCAACAAGATGACACCGTTCAGTATGACAATCGAATTTAAATCGAGCTTGAGCAACTCATCGCTTAACTCTTGGAATTTCTCTGGAGTCAACTTATTCAATATGCCACGAACACGCCGGAAAACTGCATCGTTCTTTTCGCTTTGGGTTAGGCCATGCTGTGGACGCAACGATGGCGGTATCCAGCGTCCAGTAATGGGTAGCTGTGCTCCAGCTCCGGCAACAATTGATGATGCTCCTCCTGTTGCTGATGATGTTGATGCTGTTGGTGGCGGCGTGGACGACTTGTATGATTGTTGCTGATACTGATGCTGCTGTTGCTGCTGCTGATGTTGCTGTTGTTGCTGCTGCTGTTGCTGACTGTTGCTCGCTGCAGCGTGTCTCAAGTTTTGGCCACGCTCGTAACGTTCCTCGTTGTTGCCTCGATTATTGTAACGTCCGCCTCCGCTTCCTCCTCCTCCACCACCTGCGCTATAGCGTTGATGTGCCGGTGATTCGTCTGCGTAGCTATCCCTATAATTGTCCCGTTGGCTATAGTCGTCACGTTGATAGCGTCCACTCAGGCTGCCGCTGTTATTGTTGTTGTTGCTGCTGCTGCCGTTGCCATCGTTACGCTGTGAGCCGTAATTTGTTTTATTTGGATTGCCAATTGTCGAATTGTTGCCGTAATGACGTTGCTGCTGCTGTTGTCCGCTGCTGCTACTGCTGCTGCTGCTGCTGCTGTTGTGGTTGATGTTGTTGCTGCTACTGTTGCCATTGCCATTGACCGTCTCGTAGCGTGAGCCGCTGCCAGTTGCTTGATGCGAGGCGCGATAGCTGCTGCTGTTGCCTCCCGCCGAATTTGTGTTTAGATTTCGATTATAGCTGACGCCATCGGAGGAGCTCGAGTGATAGTTATTGCGACTACCACGATGAACTCCCAGACCACCGTTATAACTATTGCTATCAGCTATCTGCTGACTGCCGTTAGTCAAGCCGCTGCTATTATTGTTGCCAGTCGCTGCACCCAAAATGTCACTATTTTTGTTATAGTAACGCGACGACGACGAATCGTTTTGATATGATCGTCGAGGCCTTGGGCTTAGCTCCGAATCGTGTTGACGAATTTTGACGGTATTCTTATTATAGCCACTGGAATAGTGTCCGCTAGGGCCACCAATTTGTTGTCCTCCTGAACCTCCTCCAACTACACCTGTTCCTGAGTTAGCACCCGCTGTTGAACCAGTGCTTGAACGGCTGCCGTTGCGACCACTCAAGCCAGATTCGTTGTTGCTGCCGCTGTTGCTATTGCCGCCAGCTGATTTGTTGGCGCGATAATTGCCACCGTTATGATTCGTACCGTTGCTTGTTGTGCCCTTGTCAATTTTAACCAGATTCTTGAGATTATTGAACGTATCAGTGGCTGTGGTAATGGGCAATAGATTCGGACTTGTATTCAGCAATGTCTTTTGACCAACTATTGACGCCGTTGTTGGTGTTGTTACTGTTGTTGCCGATTGTGGTGTCGGTGGTGTTTGGCCTCCGGTACCGCCGCTATTGCTGCTGGTGACGCCTAAAACGGCGCCGCCGCCTCCGCCTCCACCGCCGCGATTGCTCAACTGATCGTAATTGCGCTCGATAATATCGTTTTGTTTCGACGACGTTATTATCAAACGCAAATCGTTGACGCCGCCGCTGCTGCCGCCGCCGCCGCTGCTGCTGCTGACGCTGCCGCTGCTGCTGGTGTTGGTGCCGCCGCCGCCGCCGATGCTCGTCGTGTCACCGGTACTGGTGCCTCCCTCAATGGTGATCGTTTTGGCGCTGTGGCGAAACTGATCTATGATGACGCCTGCCTGATGCCCGTTGCTAGTACCGTTAGCCCAACGTTGCGGACTATCGTCGTAAGTGTGCAAAAGGGGAGCGGCGTCGTACGTTGATAGTGGAATGGTGATAATTTTTCTCTATCGACTCGGGGGCGAAAAAATTAATCAATTGGTTTCTTCTCACGGGCTCGCTGTTTGGCAGCGGGCTCTCGATGTTCGTTAACGCTGCTTTTGTAGTTCGATCCTGTTTGATCTGCCCTCGCTCTCTCTTTTTCTCTCTGTGCTCTTCTGTGTGTTGTTATACAACACAACACACGCGAAACAAAACAGAAATTTTGTATAGTACACACAGACACGCACGCACACAGAGACACACACACACAAAAATATATATCAATATATAAATATATATGTGAATATATATGTTAAGCTGTATATGTATAGCTGGTTGTTAATTGATGGGGCTCCCTTCGGTTGCTTTGTCCTAAAGTCTCTCTTTCTCTTCTGCTACGTCTTCTTCGGTATGTTTCTCCGTGCACTTTTCCAGTTATTTATATTTCTTTTTTATATGTAATTTGTATAGTTAGATAGATTCCTGTCTAATCGGATATTGCCTGCTCCGTTGCTGCTTGCCGCTTACGCTTGTAGGAATCCTGTTGGTATATAAGAAAAAGAAGTTGTGCCAAAAAATCTAATTAGAAACGATATTGAAGTTAGGGGGAGGTTGGAATGTTTTCAAATTATATGTACACAAAAATATAGACGAGACAAAGTTGTGTGATATGGTCTAAATATATTATACATACGTACAGGGGTATACTGACAAATGTGCAAATGAAAACTGAACGGATATACACACACACATACACATACTCTCAACAATAATAAATTTAACAGCAGAAATCTTTAAATCGAATTCCCTTGAAATTACTTTTCACAATCACACAGACACTCACACTCACATTTGTTTATGCTTGTCTCTTACACATGCACATGTATCTGTGTATGTGTGGGGAATTTAATAAATGCCCAATGAGTGTTAATTAAGCTGCTATAGGCACTTCACAGCTGTTGAAAAAGTACTCATTCGTTTTCTTCGTTCACTTACACTCGACTTGAATGCTTTGCTTTATAACTAAAAATAACGGTTGTTTGACAATGCACACGCTCGTACGCTCGCTGAACTGTCGACCGTCGGCAATGGGAAACTATCATAAGTCTAAAACTGGAATTTTAATGAAAATAACCTCGCAAAACACCTTCAAGTTTATTTCACTTTTCCCCCACACACGACGCAACGCAATTGAGCGCCATGCTTACACACACACACATACTCGCAAAACAAACAAACGATTGCTGCGTTCTCCGCTCAGCTTGGGGAAATTTCTATATGTATGTATGAATGTACGTTTATGTACAGCTACGTGCCAGTGTAGCCGTCTTGCCGCGCACCATTAAAATGCGCAACAAAAGTGCATTTTATTAAATGTATGTACATAATATTAATGCAATTACTTAAGGTGCTCAATATACAACACAGTTTTCAATGCACTTAAATTGATTTTAATAAGCAAACAAATTGAGTGGGACAACTGGTCGGCCAGGTCGTTCGCTTTTGTTCTTTGTTGGCTTTTTCTTTGTTTGCGCGCGCTCCGTTTGCCAAGTTTGAACTCCTTTATATACACACATATATGTACGTGCATAAATATATAAAAAAAATCAAACTGGGATGTGTGGATGCTCACGTATCTCGCAAGTACACACACATACACATTTTCAAATGTACATGTGTGTGTGTGTACCCATTTTACTAGACGCTGCTGCTGCGCACAAGCGAGCAAATTTCTCAGTGTCAGTGTCCTTTGATTGTATGTGTGTGCCTTTGTGTGTGTGTGTATGTTTCTGTGGAGGTTTATGGCCTCAGCTAGAGCTTTCGTTGGTTCGCAGTTTCCGTTCTGCGCCATCGAATTAAAGTCTCTTGACCCCAATAAAAATGTACTAAATGGGTGCGTTGTTGTTTTTTTGATTAGCGGTGCTTAGCCTAAACACACGAAAAACAAAAAAAAATATTTCGCATCTGCGCCATGACTCACATTTGAATGCTAAATTTTACACTTTTGCTTTAAGTGAATTTCACTCAAAGAGAACACACATACATTCATACATATTTGAGAGTTTCTAAGTTCAAGCAAGATTTTGCATTTTTGAAAGCTCCCCACCCAAAGCAACCCTGAAGCTTGATTTGCATTTAGTCTATATGTGTCGACGTTTGTACGTACGTGTGTGTTTGTGTGGCTGCATTTTAATGCCTTCCGAACACCCCCCAATAGTGTCCAAAGTGTAAAACCACCCCAAAAAGAGTGCGCAAACATATTGCCGCCCTTTCAAGCGTTGCAGCGCAAAGACGTCGACGACCCCGACCCGAACGAACTAAAACCCGATGCCGCGACAAAAAGACCCAGTTGTGGATGATTTTGACCTCAATTCAAGTGAGTCGTGCATAACCGTTCAAGTAAATCTCACTAGAAAAACTTGATGCCATTTCCAATGACACACACACACACACTCACTGAGAGATATAATAAAACTTTATGTTACTATGCAAATGCGTAAATTACTCTCTATTCAATCCAATGACCCGCCCTCGTTTTCTGCTAGAGTATAACCCGGCCTGTTTTCTGCCTTTCAACTAGTTTTTTTTTCTTTTCATTTTTTTTTGTACTCTTTTTTCGATGCTTTCGTCATGCACATCGTACAAAGTGCACACACACAGTCTGTGTTTGCATACTACTGCATGTGTGTGCGTGCAAACGTGTGTGGTTGTTTTCGAAGATAAACGCGTACACACGGAAAATCAAAATGAAGCTGCATTGAAAGCGAATCGAAAAACTCAAAATTTAGTAAAGGAGAGAGCAGAGAGGAAAGAGAGACAGAAGCGTGCACCAAAGCAACGTCAACAGCAGTTTTTCCGCTGTGTGCCGCCATTTTGTTTGCTGGCACTTGACGTTGCCGTTGCCGCTGCTGCTGCTGCTCTTCTCTCGCTCTATCTACCTACATATGTATGTATTGTATATGCATACATACATACATACATATATTTCTTTGTATTTTGAGTGAATCATTTTTTTCTTTTTGATTTCTTTGTCAGTTACATGCAGCGCATTAACTTTTTTCATTCACTCAAGTTATACAAATTCACAATGTTAGGACGAAATACTGCGGCATTATTACACATTTATTGATTCAAAGTGAATTTTCTGGTGCTGCTGTGAGCGAGGAAGCAAAAAACGAGGACGTTTCTAACGTACATATGTACATCGTACATCATGGAAAAGTTTTTGAGGCTAAAATTTTTTTCACAGTCGTTTTGATAACCTTAGTACACTTTGAAATACAATTCAAGCCATTATTACACACTTTAATTTTTTCTATGTATATAATTAAATACAATAATAAAAGTAGGCTGCGAACTTTCTCTGTCTTTATTGTACTAACCTCTATAAATTACTGACTGTATGGCAACTTTTTTGCGAAAATTACTACCACCAGTCCGACGTGCTGCAAGACAATCGACGGTATTATCGGTATCCGCTGTGGATGGCGTGTTCAACGATTTATGTGTGAATATCGATATAAAAAAATATCGCGAAACATCAAATGACATGCAAGCTATTCGTTAATATCGATTGATTTTTTGTTGTACATATTTGAATATGTCAATGTTATTTAATGTATTTTAAATAATTTAATATAATTATACCTTCTATAAGTTATAATACTTTTAATATATAAACATAAAATTCAATATATTCCTTACTTCCGCAATCAGCTTAACAATGTGACCATAAACATAATATATTTGTTTTCATATCGATTGTGCTGCTCACTGCGCAGCTGATTATTTCATTCTCATGTCGTTCCTCTTGATTGCCATTTGTTTTCCCATTGTTTGTTTATATTTTGCACTGTGTGGGCGTGTTTGTGCATTACTGCTCAACAAATTTCAAAGGCAATGAGTGATATAAAAATCTTACAATTTGCTCCTTTTGAGTCGTTTGTGTCCCCAACATTTTGGCACAAATTAGCAGAGTTGAAACTCGACTATGACCGTTTGTCCGACACGAAACGCTCCATTTACGGATACTACACAAATCGCAAGGCGTCCGGTTGTCTGCTTGAGGTCGACTACAGCGCATATAATAGGTAAACTGCGTAGCCAGCTGACTGATAACTGACAAGACGACAATTAACAGCTAATTAATTCACAGTGAAGCGCAGACACCAAAATTTAGCCATGCAGCCAATGGTTCTATTTACAATAAAAACACAATTGAAGAGTTCAAAGCCCTGGATAAAACGTCGCTGCTGGCAGATGAGGGCAAACAATTGTTGGATGATATGCGCAACGGGCGTGCCTTGAACGATGCCAGTTTATTGACACGTTTCTTTGTCCTCTCGTTCGCGGATCTGAAATGCCATAGCTATTACTATTGGTTCGCCTTTCCTTGTCCACTAACACCCGCGTTGGAATTGCTTACCTCTCCCACAAAGCTGAAAGAGATGCCCAATAGTGGGACTTATGTGGAAGCTATTTGCGTATTGCCTGCGCATGCGCAAAACTTTTTCATTTTGCATGTGAATGAGCAGGCAAAGGTTTGTGAGGCGCTCAGTTTGAGTGACGCTTTGGGTAAATTCGATGAGCAACAGGCGCAGCATTATATTTACTGTTTTGCTGATCCCAGCGAATATGAGAATCCCGCCTGGCTTATGCGCAATTATGTGGCTTTGCTGTTCCAGAAGTGGTAAATATAGAGTTGTTTTACTGATATAAAAATATGATGCACTCGATATCAAGCTGCTTTGTTATTCGCTGAAGAGAAAGCAAAGCATTGAGTGCGAGAGAGTGTGAGTGGGATGAGCTTTTTCAATGAACTTACTCAACACACACGTACTTTCGCTCTCTTTGACGTTTCACTCTTGTTGCTGTAGCTGCTGCTGCTGAGTTAGATATGTACTAAAACAGACAAATTGAACTCGATATCGATAACACATCGAAGAGAGCGAAACCGAGTGGAATTGATTGTCACAACACTGATTATACTCAAACACGTACTTTTACTCTCTTCAGTCCCACTCTTATTGGCAAATCACTCAAATTTTTGGGTCTGCGCTACGATCAGCAAATGCAATTGGACAACAGTTTGATGTGGCAGGTGCGTCAGTCTGAGGCATGCAACTATGAGCAGGTGCAATTTGTTGGCTGGGAAGCGAATCGCAATGGCAAAATGGGTCCACGCATGGCCAATATGCGCGATAGCATGGATCCAGCCAAGTTAGTAAAAAGCAATTTATACAAATATATAATCTCTAATGAATTCATATACCTTGCAGATTGGCCGAAAATTCTATAAACTTGAATTTGAAACTCATGAAATGGCGCCTGGTGCCGGATCTGAATTTGGATATACTTGCGAATACCAAGTGCTTGCTCTTTGGAGCTGGCACCCTGGGCTGTGCTGTGGCCCGCAATTTGCTGGTGAGTCTGGAGAGCATGTACTATATAGATGCATATATTAATTACTTTTTCTATTAGTCCTGGGGTTTCAAGCACATAACTCTAATGGACAGTGGCAAAGTGGGCTATTCGAATCCTGTGCGCCAAAGCCTCTACACCCACTCGGATGCTGTGGCAGGAAATTGCATGAAGGCGACCACAGCTGCAGCTCGCCTGCTTGAGATCAATCCCAGCGCTGTGACCAAGGGTTACGTATTGGAAATACCCATGCCGGGCCATACAGTGGGCGAGGCATTGCGTGCACAAACCGAGCAACATTTGCAACGCATCGAGGAGGAGGTGCTGGCCCATGACGTCATCTTTCTGCTAACCGATTCACGTGAGAGTCGTTGGCTGCCCACGTTGCTGGGGGCGGCAAATCAAAAGGTCAACTCTAGTAGATAATTAGAACGATATGTAGATATTAGATAGGTGCTGTATATAGAATCTCCCTTTAGCGTTGTCTCACAGTTCGCATAGATACACATTAGCTTGCAATTAAGATAAATTTTCTATTAGAATTTCTTGATAATTGCAATTGGAATTTCTAGTCATTTAATAACCATTATTATTATATAGTCTTACTTATCTGTGTTCTATGTACTCCACAGATTGTCATGAATGCTGCTCTTGGCTTTGACAGCTATCTAGTCATGCGTCATGGCAGCACGCGTCAGCTAATTGGCGATTGCAACAGGAATGTCGAAGGGCTCAAATGCATAAGTGGACAACAGTTGGGTTGCTACTTCTGCAATGATGTCACAGCGCCGGGAAATGTAAGTAAAGCAGTTATTAAGACTACATAACGAAGAAGCTTAGACTTTATTAATAATTATATATACTTGTGGTACGCATATATTAGTATATGGTGTAAGGTAGTATATACAATATAGTCGTGTCTGGTAATATAGTAATATATTCTATATATTAGTATGGCATAGTACTATATACCTTGTAGTACTATAAAATATTAGTAGTATATACATTTTATTAGAATATAGTAAAAAAAACCATGCTATATAGTAAGATTTTCCAAATAGTAGTATATACCATATAGTAGTGTAATCCAAATAGTAGCATATTTCATATAGTACTATATCTTGTACTATATAAAAGCACTTTCCGTATAGTAGTGTATGCTATATAGTAGTATATGTTACATAGTAGTATTTTGCAAATAGTAGTATATGCCAAATAGTACTATACGAAATCTATACACGAAATATAATACCATACCATACTACTACATAGTAGTACATTCCACATAGTACTATACCAAATAGTAGTACATTCCATATAGTAGTATACTTCATATAGTAAATAGTAGTATATGCTATATGCTACTATTTTGTACTGGAAATCTAAGTGCTAAGCGCACTCGTAGTCGTGTCTTGAGTACTTCTCAAAGCCTGCGCAGGTTGTGTCGCCCGTTTGAATGTGATCGACTCCTGTGATCTGTATGACCAAGCCATTGATCGCAGTCACCTTGAAGCCTACGAGGTTCATCATGGCGTTGGGTGTGCGCCAGGCGTAGCTAAAGAAATTGTACCCATCCACAGCGGTCAAGACCTGGCGTTCCGTAAAAGCTAAGGCCAACTTAAATTGCTGATTGAAGACGAAGGGAAAGCCTCCATGGCGCTCCTCGTTGCCAAACCTATCGAGAGTAGAGAGAACATATATAAGAGTATTTAAGAATGATATAACACTACTTAAGTAAGGCTTAGTCCATGTTCTCAAGTCAAAGCTTTTCATGCATAGAACCAAAGACAGCTTTAAGTTGATTATTATTGATTATAAGAAAAATTAAGCCTTAAACTGAAGCTTTAAGTGAGCTTTAATATGCATATTTGTAGAGCTTTCAAGCTAGATATATAGAGAGCTTTAATATACACTTAAAGTCTTCAATGCTGCGAAGCTTTAAGCAAGCTCAAAGTTGATCCTGACTTGCGTTAAGCTGCGAGCTGCAAGTGTTAGACAACGACTAAAGCTTTAAGTGTTATTTACTCTACTATGTGAGAGCTTTAAGCAGCTTTAGTTGTCAAGCTTTGCAGTGACTGTCTTAAGATGCAACTTCAGGTTGTAAGGTTTCAGTGTTCAATTGAAGAAAGCCTTCACTCAGTTAAACCTTAGCTGAGCTTTAAGCAGTGTTGCCCAACGAACTTACTCAAAATTCTTGTTCATGGTGTTGCGTATGACGGCGGACTCGTCGAAGCGTACGCTAAAGTGCAGCTCCTCGCGCTTGGTGTCGGAGTCCGTGAACTTGATGATGAACTGGCCACGCTTGTTCTCGAAGCAGCGCGCTGTGATCACAATAACATGGCCGGGACTGAAGAGTATTGGCTGATCGTTGCTGAAGGCCTTGAAGTAGTCGGAGGCATGTATGGCCGGCCACGGATTGGGGAAGACGGTGCGATGATCGACCTGTTTGATCACCTGTATTTGATCGCGTATCTCGACGGCGCGTATCGCGCCCAACGGCAGGCGATAGCGAAAGGTGCAAAACTCGCGGCTGTTGATCGAGATGTGGAAACACTCCTCGCCGGCCAGAATGTAGATCATGAAGAACTCGCCGCTGACAATCGGATTGGGCAGATTGATGTTGTCCACGACGTGCGACTCCTCCTCGCCCCACACGCCGTGCATGCGGGCATTGCGCACGATCAGATCTGTGCGAAAGTAGCAGGAGAACCGCAGGCCGATGTCCGCGTCTGGGTTCACAGATGATTTGGCCGTGCACAGGTTTATATGGAACCTAGCAAATACATAGAGATATAGATATAGACATGGATGTTCCATGTAGTCGATTATACAATGTGGTCGCAAGGCCTTGTTTAGTCATGTATCAATGGCGATAACGACTTTGACTCATATCGAGTCGAGTCGAGCGAGGGCAGGGCTGTAGATATAGTTTTGGTTTTTTACCTGGCGGCTCCATCGATTGTTTTGGCCACGATTTCCAGCACATGGCCGAATTCCAGCGGATGCGACAAGTTCCCCGAATATTCTGTTAACATAGTTAATGTTTATATTAGTGTTTTGCTGGAGCAACTGAATTTTCCTTCTTGGGCTTTATCGTCGGGCACAGCAATTCGACATTATCTCTGGCAGCGCTCGATGCCTACAATAATTCTTCAACAACTTCTCTGAGTATTCATTAGAATTTTTATACATACAAATAATTTTTATCTAATCAGCAGGCAGCTCACTCGAGCGCTTTTTCCTTTTGTTGTTGTTGCTGCTGCTGCTGCTCCCCATATTTGCGTTATTTACTCTTTTTTTTTACCTTACTTTACTTTATTTTTCGATTGTTTGTTTTTGGCTTTTGCACGCTCAGCTGTGTTGGCTGTGCCTTACCTATGGTAGGCGGCGTCATTTTTGTTAGTGTAAAGCTCGCAGTGAACTGAAAAGCTCGCGACGCAGCGTACAAAGTTGAACTGTATGCAAAACAAACTGTAAATTTGCGAAAGCAAATGGTAATTGATATAAGAGTGGCATGTGTAAAACATGTAAAGTCATATTACAAGCAGCACACTGTTAAGTAACAGCTGTTCTGTAAACAAAACATCATAAGCTGCATACGCGGCTTAAGGCGCGTGTCTTATAAGAAATCATACCAATTAGGAAATACCAGCTGTGTTAAGTTAGCTGCACTAAATGTAAACAAATCATTGTGAAGCAACGGCCTATGCAGATGTCAAAGTTTCCAATTGGAAAATATTAGCTCTCAAAAGCGCGTTAAGTTAGCTGCACTAAATGTAAACAAAGCATTGTGAGCTGCCAATGCAGCGTTTGCCAACACTGTTAAGCAGCTTTTTATAAGACTTACTTTATAAGGGTAGTTAATATTCTTTATTTATGTTTTTACTATATTTATTTTCTATGATTTATCATAACTAAGAAGTTACAAGATAGAAATGCACTCTGTAAACAAATGTTATTTTATGTTCTATAGTATCTGTAATTTCACTTGCGCTCTGTTAAAAATGTCATGTTAAACTTAGCACCTCTGTTATTAACAGTCACTCAAGGATCGCACGCTGGATCAACAGTGCACTGTTACGCGTCCCGGCGTCTCTAACATAGCAGCCAGCTATGCAGTGGAGCTGTTGGTAGCCCTGCTGCAGCATCCGCAAAGGGAACTGGCGCCCGCCTATTATGCGAACACTCGCCAACAGACGGAAGTGCAACAGCCGGAGGGTCTGTTAGGCATTTTGCCACACTCGATACGCGGCATGCTGTGCAACTACGAGAACATCTTGCCAGCCACTCAGAAGTTTGCGCAATGCATCGCCTGCTCGGAGGTAAGAAACCTCTATAAATATTTATATATATTTATATATTTAGTTAACTAATTGAATACATTTAGCGTGTGTTGGCCGCCTATCGCAGCGAGGGTCACGAGTTTCTCTTCAAAACATTCGAAACGGCTAAATACTTGGAGGATCTAACAGGCATTTCGGAATTCAAGCGACTTAACAGTGAGGTAGGTGCTCTAAATTAAAATTAATCAGTAGATTAAGTCTGAGCTTAATCTATTTATGTCTAATCTATAATTACAGATAATTGACTTTGATGATAATGAATTTGATATGTCCGACAATGAGGACGATGATGATAATTAGCCGAATTGTTATTATCATCATAAAATATTTGCATTTTCTATTCGATTTAAGCTTAAAGAGTCATTTATTTAGCACCAAATTTAGGAATTTAAGTATGTGTTTTTTTTATGTATTCAAATATATGTCGTTTCAATTATAATTATAGCGTCTATCTATATATATTGATGGCTGTAAACCGAAGGCGAAGTGAGAATTCATTTTTACAGAAATTCATCAAAATTAGTTTGACAACAAAAGGATATCTTGAGTCATAACAGTTTATTTTCACATCTCTTATAATTTAAATGTTACGAAACATGTTGTTAACAGCGCTCAAATGCCAATATAACAGCTTTAACATAGCATTTGCGTTACAATTTCATGTATGTAACTTTTATAATTAGCAGCGTATTGATATTGTCATCAACAGCGCATTCTGTATGTTAGGTGTAACAGTTTTAGGACTAACACATATATTTACATTACATAAGCATAATGCTAATAATAAATAGGGACTTACTGCTGTTATAATGCTTATGTAAATTAGAATGTTATTAACAGCTCTTATACAGCCTTTGTCTATGCTCGGTATAAGAGTTGTGTCTAGAGTGCAAAGCTCGTCTTAGTTCGTATAACCACAAACATACATACTTTCATATATACTTACATACATGTCTGTCTGTGTGTTTCTTGCATAAATGTACAAACAAATATACCTATAAAGTACATTCAATGATCTTCATGTTAACATTCAGCTTAAATTGCATATTCTGATAAGAATGTTGTTAATGAAATTTCTAAACGATTCTGTTTCTATGGAATTTCAACGAAAATTTGTCTTGTTATTGTTTTTTTTTCTATAATCGCCATCGAAGTGACGACAATTCTTGTTTTGGTTTATATTTGTTTTTATTTTCTATTTTGATTCTTTATTTTTTTCATGTAAAATATTATGTTTTCATTCTGAATACTGATAAGCCTTACATGTGCCATAAATCAAAAGTCAAGGTTCATTAAACTCAGGCAGGCAAAAATTTAGAAAGCAAACGGGTCAGTAGTTCATGCAGAATGGCAAATTCGGTTCTCTAAGGTCGAATAGATTAAAAATAGATTAACTGTAAATTTCTAGTAAAGACATCAGCAGGACATGCACCTTAAGCCCAAACACGTGTGCAGCATATTTACCGTTAGCTGATTTTTAGCTAGCATTCAACAATAACAAAACACTTGACACACATTTTCGCTGGTCTCAAACGACGGCATTTGACCCTAGGCAAAAATAACAACAGCAACGGTAAATCACCTTAGGTTTGCCTACCCACTGAGCCGATGATAACTGCTTTCTTCTGCAAATATCGAAAAACAACAACAACAGCAGCAGCAGCACCAGCGAGTCTACATAATTAATAGCTGTTAAAGGCGAACAACAAAAACATAAAATTTTCAATGGCTCAACGAAACACAAACAAAGCCGAAGTAGAAGCCGACGCCGAAACAACAGCAACAATAACTCCACGACTCAGCATGAAAAAAAGCAAATACGAAGAAAGAGAAGCAAGAAATATGCAAATAACAAAAACAACAGCAGGCATCAAGCAGCAATGGCTGCCACAGCCGGCGGCGTTGACAGCGACGGCGACGGCGACGGCGTTAGCGACAGCGTCTTAAAAAGCGCTCAAAATGCCAATCGAGTCCAGCGCATTTCACTCGAATTGCGTTTTGAGTGAAACGCAGTGACGTTTTGCCATGGGCCAACGGATTCACATAAATTGGTGAAAGATATCCAAAATGCGCACACAAACCAGCCGAGCGCGCATACAACTGGCCATAGCGGCAGACAGAAGACAGTGTTGCAGTGCAGTGCACATATTGATACTACTAAAATTTCATTTTTTAACTACGTTCGGCAGTAAAAGTTGAGACAGAAACGAAAATAATATGGTAAGTGCGACAATTTTTGCTTACTCATATATTTTAAGCAAAATCCTTTAGTTAATTGACAATTTCATGCAGTTTTAACCGTTAGTTTTTAACAAATTGCACTTTTCCTACGCGCTCTTTCGCGCAACTCGTTGCGAAAGTTGTTTTTGCATTTGAAAAAGCGTTGCAAAATCTGTTGTTTTTTTACTTGATCGAAATCTTTCAAAATTGGCTAATGGCCATAGCCGTGGCAACAACATTAATAACCATATATAAATAAAGAAATCTATAAATCGGAGTTTTTTTTTGGTTTAAATCATACGCAATGAAGGCACGTTTCAATTTCAAGTGTTTTTTATTGGCTCATTAAAATGCTTAAGCGGGACTCGAGGCTTACATACAGAGTGCGTATGGCTGATAGAATAGCTAAAATATATATTTTTGATTTATGCATAAATATTTTCAATAGATTTACATATATTTAATATTTTGAGCTTAACTTCAACAGAGTTTCTACTGCATTTTTTGTGAGGTTATGTACTTTTGTGAGGTTAGGTATGCAATTTCTGATGCTCGCTCACAGAGGCAAGCGAGCATATTGGACGTATGCAATCTGTGCAGCTCCAGGGGCATCAACATATACTGTGTGCTAAATAGAATCTATATACTTTAGTTGTATCTAGGCTCTTTGGAAGTGATGCAAAACGTGGCTTAAATGGTTGCAATAGGCTAAAAGGAATCTGTTAGAGAATTCGTTCGTCTCAAAGTGGCAGTTGGTAGAAAGGTATATATGCCAATTTTGTGTAATTTTTGTGAGGTTATGTGCAGTGTCAGTTGATGTATATGATTGAGGTTAGGTATGAAATGAGATGATTTAATATATATCATGATTACAAATAATGCAGCTTTATTTATAGCTATTCATTTTGAAGACTTTCCCAACACAAAACTATTTTGCTCACAGCAAGATGTTATTCAGAAATGGGGCTTGTCTTGCGCCGAGGAAAGACATAGACAAAGATTCTAGAAATGACGCAGATAGAAAAAAACCAATGGCTACAGTAAACACCCGTAACATCAATATATAATGAACATATACATATATATATATATATAGACAATCCATGATCGGATGGCATGCGTCAGCGGAGTCAACAAGAGTAGGAACAGATTGGGCTTATCAGCGCAATAGAATTGGGAGAATACCGAATCTTTAGATTTGGTGGGGTCAAAATTTGTGATTTTTTTCATGCATTGAAGGAGGCGGAGGCTGCTGCGTATGCCAGATGTTAAGCTCCTGGTAACATATATAAAAATTGCTACAGCTCAGAGATCGCCCGTGAGACGTTTGCCAGATAAGAGTCGAGCTTACGTATTTGTTCTTTATAAGAAAATATTCGGATGCTTCACGAACAGGCGCATTCGCAATCAGTCGGCTGAGCCAAGTGGTCTGAGCAGCTATATAGCTAGACGTACATATAGAGTATAGGAAAAACAGAGCTGATTCTAAGCACAGTTCAATAGCGCTATTGATAACTCTATCAGGAACACTCAATTCATTTAAATCAATCAAGAAGTGAGTTAGCAGCGATTAAAAAACTATAAAACAGGAATTTTCCATAGATCAGACTAACAGAAATCATAGACTATATATATATATATATATATATATATAGAGGGAGAGTGCAGTTATATTGATTGGTAAATCGATCATCTTTAATCGCAGGTCAATCAAAGCAAGTGTAAAATGGCCTTGTCCAAAATCGATGGCGAAATCGATAATATCGATCAGGAGAAATATCTGCGCCAAGCCACGCAGTACTACTGCGCCTTGGAGAAGCCGCTGAAGTTCGGTCCCGCCGTGGATAGCTTGCCCGATCTGATCTCGGCGCTGCATCGCGAATTCGACGCGAACTACGTGAACATCGAGATGGTGAATCACTTGATGCTCACCTACAAATCGAATCCCAAGGAATGGCGCAAGTACGCCAAGTTCGATCGTTACACGTACACGAGAAACTTGGTCGACGCCGGCAACGGGAAGTTCAATCTGTTGATACTCTGCTGGGGCGAGGGGCACAGCTCGTCGGTCCACGATCACGCCGACTCGCACTGCTTCATGAAGATGCTCAAGGGTGAGCTGAGAGAGAAACGCTATCGGTATCCGAACCGGGGCGGCGAGGACGACCAGCAGCAGCAGCAGCAGGATCAACAGCAGATCAATGATCACGAGCTGGTGGAGATCGGCGACACGCCCATACCCGTCAACGATGTGGCCTATATCAATGGTATGTGCTCTAGCTACTGCCCGAATCATGCCTATTTTCATGCCTCTCTTTCCCCAACCCAGACAACTTGGGCTTGCATCGCGTGGAGAATCCCAGTCACACAGACACCTCGGTCTCGCTACATCTCTACTGTCCGCCCTTCGACACGTGCAGCATCTATCAGAACAACGGCAAGAAGATACCAGCCAAGGTTACCTTCTGGAGTAAATACGGCGTACGCAGCAAAGCCAATGAGCAATAGACTAAAGAACATATACATACATAATAGATATATCCCTATCCAGATATATATTTAAGTCTGCTATTATTAGTTGTTAAGCTTTTAGCTATACCAAAAATCTGATCTAAGTTACATTAACTAAAAACAAATACTTTTTACTGAAAAAACAAGTCTTATCGATGGCGCCTTGAACCCCCAAAGCTTATCAAATGCCACGTGTGTATATAGTTTAGAATATAGCGCGAGCTTGACTTTTTATGATTCGATTTAATTCACATACACATACAAATACCAGAAAATAGTTACAAATAAAACATCGTGTAGGTTTCTTAACTACGATTCGAATGATCGCTCGTTGATCGTTGATCGTTGATCGCGATTTTGATCTTTAAAGCATAAGTTTCCTGTCGGAAAGAAAGTTATAGGTTTATTAACTTCGTATCGTATCAAAAACGCTGCTGATCACTGATCGTCGATCATTGATCACAGATCATTGATCATTGATCATTGATCATTGTCCTTTCTGTCTTAAGCATCAATGTTCTTCTGATCACGCAAATGCGATCTCTTGGGCACGCCTCTGTCGAGGGTCTTCTGTATGTTCTTCATCAGACCCGGCAATAGGTTGATATGCTTGTCCACACAGTTACCTGTGCACACCTCAAACAGGTGTCTCGATCGCGACAGGTCATGCTCGTTGGGATTGTTTGGCAGTTTCGAGCGAGCATCGCTGTTGCACTCCTTGAGGAATAGATATAGAACATGATATAGTTAGCTCTCTATTTCGATATGGGTATACTACTAAAATAAGATCTATATATGTTACTTCAGATACTTTTTTATAAGCTGGCTGTAGCTGACTTATGTGAGCTGTCCTGCTGATTGAAGCTGCCTCTTGCTTCTTACCAGGCAACTCTCATAGCTAACGCTCAGCTGCTCAGTTAGCTCACCTTGACACAGCCTTGTAAATGGCTTTGGAACTGTCCCAGCTCGTTCTGCAAGTAGTCCTGGGCATCCATGAGGGGCGAGGCGCATTTCTCAATGCAACGTTGCACGCTGTCCAAGGTGCCGCGTTCGTCATCGCAGCAGCTAGCCGCGCAGCGATGCATTATTGACTAAGCAATTGGCATATGAATCACTCTAAACATATATCTATCTGTGACGTGAGCTCACCTGCATGCGACGCAGGTGCGAGCGATACATGTCCTCGATCATATCGCTAATGGCGCCCTCCAGACGTCGCTTCTGTTGGTCCATTTTTTTGTTTATAGATTAAAGAATTTGGAAAAAAAATTGAAACCTATACATAAATGTATATATAGAGATATCAATCGATATATATATATATTTTCATAGATCTATTTTTTGTATCCACATAAAATATAAATTGTGCTCAGTGCTGTGCGTAATAGCAAAGCAAACGTTGTTTAGACTCGAGTGTTTAGAGTAGAAGTTTATATATTCAACAGCTTGTAATGCTCAACTGATCTTTAGTGCTAGGGAGAGAGAGAGAGGGGGAGAGAGAGCGATAGGGAGTAAGGGAGAGGGAGAGAGAGCGAGAGGGAGAGAGAGAGAGTTGAAGCTATTAGAGCTAGACCTGGACCTAGACCTAGACCCAGGTTTAGTTCCTTTTCCATTTGTGCTATCTCTCTCTTCGCTCTTCTTCTTAGAGTTTAAAACAACAACTCCAAATATATAATCTTAGATATGCTGACTGCCTAGCCGAGCTAATATTCTAGACGACCTTAGATCTATTTTCTCGATGTTAACCTCCCTTGGCCAAGCAACTCCTTCGCTCTCTCAACTCTCAACTCAATATAATTTGCCCTGAGCTTGAATATTTCTCAGTTCACTTGTTGCCCTATGTCAGTTGAGGCTGGCCATACTCCCAGTTTACCAAACTATAACAATTTTTTTAAGACAGTAGCAGACGTAGCCCAGCTCATACAATCTCGATATCAACAGCTTTAGTCTATAGTCTAAAATCTACGAGAAATCGAGACATGAAAGAAGTTTTTGCTAGAGCAACTTTCTTTGGCCAAAAATGCTGTCTCTGGCCTACTGTCTACCTCAGCTCGTCCCTTCAAATTAGCCTTAACTTCAAGGCTCTGGCCCGCTGTCCGTCTGCCCGTTCTCCTGCTCGTTTCTTCATAAGTTAATGCCCCGATTCTTCATGCAGAAGCTCTCATAGCCAGAGCAATTGTGAAAATAAGAGATGTTTACCTTTAAATTTTGGCGCCAAAAAACTGGCTTTAATTAGCGTGCTTTAAGGGTAGTTTTTTTTCTTTAAGTTAACAGTACATTTTAGAAAGAGGAGCTCAACAATTAAATGCAGCATATATATACTATAGCAGACACATAAATTACATATTCACTATAGTACATACATGCGAAGGACTTAGATTTGCGGTATGGACTCGGGCCCTTTGGCTAGAACCGATTTCATGGTCTTCATTAGATTGGGTATTAGGCCGACATGCTTGTCGACACATTGTATGGCGCATCTTTCGAATTGATCCGTGTATTTGGCTATTTGATCTTCATTTGGGTTTGCTGGCATTTTCACTTTAACATCATCGTTGCATTGCTATAAATGAAACATGTTCAATTTTTATATAGATCTTCCTCTCTGTCTCTACTTGTATAGCTCACCATGACGCAACGTTGAAGTCGACCCTGAAATTCGCCCAATTCGTGTTGCACATAGTTTTGTGCCCTAGTCATGGGCGCCGAGCAGCGATCGACACAACGCTGCACGCTGTCCACGCTTGAAGTGCCGTCCTGGCAACACTTTGCCGCACACAAATGCATATCCGTCTGTTAGGTAGATCAGAAAAACATCGATTATAACATTGCCAATTGGATTCATATTGGAGACAATTACCTGCATTTTGCGTAAGTGCGTCTTGTCCATGTCATCAATGAGTTCGGTTACAGCCGACTCAACACGTTGGCGCTGTTGTTGTATCATTTTTGTTAGTTATGGCTTTAATTCAACTGCAACTCTTGATTTCGTAATATATGTATATAAAATAGTAATATGCTGCCCGGCTAGACAGCGTGTTTTGTAATTCGTAACGATAGCTGCCTAACTATCGATAAATGAATAGTGAAATCAGCTGTTTTTTCGGCTGCAAGTGGCGGCGAGTCGATGACCTAGTTAAATATTCTATCGGCTGAATTGCAGCATATGCATTTCTTACAATTTTTATTTTTATAATTTATAAATAAAAAACATGTCGCTGGTGCGCAAGCTAAGCAGTTACACACTGCAATCGAGTCGTGTTTGCAATTGGAGTCGCCAAGTATCCGCCACACATCGGTTGTTCAGCACAGATGGAACTACGAGCGATAAAAATGTGAGCAATGATGAGCCGGAAAATTCGGCCAAAGGAGGATTTGCGCGTGCCTTCGAGAGATATACGGCGCCAGCGGAGCCAGAGGTAGAGCCCGTGGACAATCAAAGCTTTGCATCACTGCTGCGCAACTCCAAGTTCATTGATGTAGGTAGTTTATGGATATTCCAGTTTATGTTTATGTAATCCCACCTCTCTCTTTATCGAACAATTTTGCAGCTGGGCGATGCGGAGGGCAAAGTTGTTAGTGGTAAAATATTTCACGTTGTCGGCGATGATTTGTACATAGATTTTGGCTGGAAGTTTCATTGCGTGTGCGCGCGACCAGCAAGGAATGGCAGGTGAGTAAAGCAACCCAAATGATATACATCATTTCAGCTTTTTATTTATGCTTTAATCGGTATCAACTTCTTTTCTCTAGCGACTATGTGCGCGGGGCACGCGTTCGTCTGCGCGTCAAGGATCTGGAGCTGTCTACTCGTTTCCTCGGCTCCGAGAAGGATATAACTATACTCGAGGCAGATTGCCAGCTGTTGGGATTGATAGGATCGCCTACGCGTCAAACAAACCCACGAACCGAGTTCAGCGCACCACGAATCGAGAATTTGCTCTAAAAAAACTACACAAAAATCTATTCAGTGCATTAAACTAAAAAAGAAACAAAAGTTTTTTTGAAAAAATTTGTCACATCGTGAATTGGAAGACTTCGTAATGGTGGTTCAGCTCCTTGACTGCGTGCAACTGGAATTTGCTGGCCAGTGCTCCATTGTCGGATCGCTCGAGAAAGAAGATGCGTTTGACTCGACTGTGAACGAGCGCCATGGAGCACATCAGACAGGGTTCACGCAGCAAGTAGACGTCATAGCCGGTGCATAAGTAAGGACCATATTTGCATAGATTATCGGCATGGATATCCTCGACTGGCTCGGGCTGTGGCTGCTGCTCCTCTCTCCTGGGGAGCTCAGCGCCCAGGCGTAAATCCTGACAAGCTGCGTCTTGCTTTAGATAGTCGTAAAAGATTTGTGGCAAGCCACTTAAGGTGCTCTTTGTATGCGGTTCGTCCTTGACGAACTGCTGATCCGTTTGCCAGGCTCCGCCACGTTGGCTGCGTGCCACATGATCCACCAGCCACATGACGCAATGCTGGTGACTGCTGCCGTCGCCTGCAGCTGATAAAGAATCGATGAATATCGAGTAATCAGTTTTTATGTCCAGCTCCCTCACCTGCTATGGCCACAATGCTAGGCCTTCGCGGATCTACGCAAATGCCCACATTTTGTCCATCATTCACATCCTTCGATAGTTTCCAGAGCAGCTCGGCCATTCGCTTATGGTAAGCTCTTTGACTAACTGTGAAATTACTGCCATTTTGTAAAGATTCAGCGTATTTATCTGGATGAAATTTGCATGGCCAATATTTGGTCATCTGTTCGTATTGGACGCGTAGCTTGGCCGAGCTGGCAGGCACTTCAATCACATTTACATTGCGACACAGCGTCTTTAACACATTCTCCGAGATTTGATGTAACTGCAAATGCTGCTCCAGCGTGTCTTTAATATCATCTGATGGACATATTAATACATTTCTTTCATGAACGCGTTTCAAATGCTGAAAATGTGGCAGCTTCAGGGCGAGCTCTTTGATGACTGCCTGCAGCTGTTGTTTACTCTCCACTTCGCAGCTGTGCACCTGCATCAGCGTTATATCCTTTTTGTAGTCATCGGAGAGTATAGCTGTAATGCCAAAATTGTCAGTTTTAATCTTTTTTGCAGCTGGCGGGCGTAAATTGTCCTTTATTCCATTGTTGTCCATTGCTTATAAATTATCGAGTAGTTGAAAACATAAGTATCGATACTAGGCTAGGCACGGTCAAACAACTATTCGTTTTGATGTTAATCACGAATGTTCGATAGTTATCTAAAAGTCTTATCGAACAGATGGCGGCCCGCCAAAAGTCAAAATATTTAAAAATTTAATTCGAAATTTGAAGTGATGCATTTTCATTAAGATGTGTTATTATCAAAATGGATTTCTCTGCTGTACATCCCTATACTACGGTTGTGTAATTATTGGCATTTCGGGTGTTATTTTCTCCATAGTGGGTCTCGTTGTTGTAATAACGAAACTTGTCTTTCACACACAAGTGTGGGCAATTTTGGCATTAATATTTCTAATCATATATTTTGTGGCTAAAGTTATCTTACTCTTAGGCACTACATATGTAAGTTTTTGACTGAACAATTGAAGTGAATTGTATTGAAATCGCTATTGCTTACAGAATATCTGCAATTTACTATTAATCTCCTTTTACATTGTATGCATATCGCTTATTATCGAACTGTTCGTGTGCATATGGATAATAATTATCCATTCCGCCATATTGTTCGGCGTTCTGGGAATAATGATTTTCCTTGGCAAGTGGAGACAAACGAGCATAGAATTAATAATTGTTGTTTCTTTGTATTTTAGTGGAAGTCTACTTTGCCTGGATTGTGATCTCGTATTGGAACCAGTGTTTACCATAAATTTTGGTTGAGGGACAGTAATATTTATTATGTATTGAATTAACTTATGCCAATTTCCTAGTATGCGCGTATGTCCAGAATATTTATAGTATATATGTTGTCATACCGTAATAAAGTTCTTTAACCGTACAATGTTAGGCCTAGTTATTGGTAACAATAACATAAGATTTTTTCTAATTGGAATTAGTGTATTAATTTAAAAATGCATTCAATATGTGTAGCAGACCCATTTTGAGTTTAACAGTGGATTTTTGTAACGGTCAGTAATAACAGACACTGTTAAGATATGCTGCCAGTAACAGATCAGATTCGATCGTAACAATACCATTTGAGCACAACATTTGCACAATATTAAAATTAAAAGTCTTAAGTAAACAAATATGAATAACAACGCAAAACAGCGAAAGAGCTAATTAATATACAAAAATTGAAAATGATAAACAACAACGACAACGATAAAGAGCGACTGTTAAGCCGAACGTCTTTAGAACTTATAAATTTGTATAAGAGACTATCGAATATTGTCGGCGGCGGAGACGCGAATTCAGTTCGCTTCGAAACGTCGTGTGGGTGAGTCGATGTTGATGCAGTTGCCATTCGCTCTGATCGCCGTCGCCGTCGTCTTCGTCGTTTAGCGCGCGTGCGTGCAACGCTTGCAAGTGTTTGGTTGCTGTGTGCGAGAGTGTTTTCCACAATTAGAAATAACGGTGCGAAGGTGAAACTGGAAAGTTAGCGAAGCGCGTTCATTCCAAGTGCATCTTCAAATTGATATTTTGCAATTAGCCTTTTTTGTTATATTTAAAGTTGTCTTACCTGCGCACCCAAAACAACCAACAGAAACAACAGCAAAGTATTCAATATTGAAAATATTCATGTGGCCAGGCAAAGTTCATAGCCGGTTTAGTCATACGCGAAATTCTGAGAATTCTACAAGTGGATTTGATCTAACAGTTAAGTGTGCGCAAATGTGTGTGTGTTTGTGTTCGTATGCCTGTGTGCATATTTATGTATGTATGTAACAGCTGTTGCGCTGCACTTCCAATCTAAATTGCGTACTTATTAGGTATTTGCTCTGCTCCGAATAGCAGCAGCAGATAAGATAGAAGCCAAAGACGTTTTGCACAGTGTAAAACTCTTATAATACCGCGCGTTCGCGTTCGCATTTGTGTGTGTGCGCGTCTGTGTGTGTTCATATGTATGTGTTTATCTTATCGGTAGACCATTGATTGAAGTAGGTTTTTGCTTTTGGCTAAAGCAATGCCGGGTGAAGTCATTTGCGCAGCGACTAAGCAAAAGAGTCTATGGACAACTAGATAGGATATCTAAGCACCTATAAAACACCAAAAAACAGCGAAAAAAAAGAGAAGAGAATAAAACCAGCCACGCAATCTTTGGCTACATTTGGACACAAACCAAATACCAAACAAGGCATTGGTAACATAAATCAACTGCAGCAGCAGCAGTAGCAGTAGCAGCAGCAGCGGCAATCACCAAGATGTCCAGCTTAGAATCCGATTCGGACACCTGGGAGGACTTTTTTGGTAAGTGCGTTGCCACATAGTTCGTTGAACCTGCCACCAATCACTTGCCTCAATGATCATCACCTTCATCATAATTATCATCATTTTGATGACTCAGCGCAGCAGGACTGCACTGTCAGAGATGAGCATGTGACATGAGCCGTTATGTTCGATCGAATCAGTGCAGTGTTGTTAGCAGCGCTTGCCAAATGTAGCCTTTTTTAAAGTGTTAACATGAACAGCTTGGGCTATTTGTGTAGCTATATAGCTAAAACTTGCTATATTCAATGTTAAAATATGCAGCATAAACTCTGCATTGCCAGAGATGAGCGCTTGAAATGAGCCACCAAATCTAGAATGCTTAAGTGTCTTAATAGGTAACTCTAACTTCTATTTATTCTTATGCGCTTGCCTATAGCTAAATCTAGCTTTTCTTGAAGCAGATATCTAGCTTTTTATGCGCATTTTCTCATTCTCATTCGTATTTGCTCATCTTTGGTGTAGCGTGTGGCAGGGTTCTGTCTGGGGAGGTAGGCGTACGCATTTTCGCATGTTTTTGCATTTCGATTGTCTGTCTCCCTCTGCCCAAAAATGGCAGACACTAACACACGCAGACATATACACACAAAGTCGCATACGCAGAGGAGAGCAAAGACAGACAGAGGCCTGGCTTTGTTTTTGTTGGCTGCAGTCGACGCTGGCGTCGTCGTCACTATAACTGTACACTTGAGTTGAAGTGCGTTTTGCTGTAACGGTTTCCAGTTCCATGATTTTTGCGCTGTTTTTGGTTTTTTTTTGCATTTTTCTCAATTCGTGCGCCGCTTGTAATGAAATTTAATGATAATACATAATTTTTGTTGCCTCAAAATTTTTTGACCCAAATTACGTTTGAGCCACCCAGCCGAGAGCAATTGAAATTTTTGTGTTTTTTCTTGCTTTATTTTTTGTTTGCCATTTTATGTTAATCGCCTGCGTCTTAATTATGACCCCGTTATTAAGGTAACATTTTAAGAGCGCGTGCTGTTTGTCTTTGTTGCAATCAAATGAGGGCGACTGGAAAAAGGTGGCCAGTGGCGGGTGGGGGACGTCGCCAGTTCCTCGCCCAACAATAATTCAATTGAGCATTAGTCACACAATAATAATTTATATAAATACGACTGAGACTCTTGTTCGACTTTGCTTGATGGCAATTTTTAGCGCTCTTAGATAACAGTACAAGTGCGCAGGCTGTCAGCCACAAAGGGACTGTTAGTTAGCATTTCTATGCAAGGCTGTGTGTGTATATTTAACAGTGTGCTATAAATGACACTGGTAATGTGCGACGTTTACGTGCAAATGCGCATGTGAATGTAAGCTTAGGGGTTTTTTTTTAAAATGTATGCGTATATATTGAAATCAATCAATCTCTCTCTCTTTCATTCACCTTATGCTAGTTAATGCACGGCCTCTCTCTGCGATTTTCGTGCCCTCAAAAAGTGTTTTTCTCGCCCGCTCTGGCGGCTTTCAGCTTTGTTATATCAATAGAGTTGTTTGTTTAGCAAAGAATAAGAACTAATACAAATAATTAGGATTATTTCTTAATATAAGCTACACTGAAATATAAAATTTGTTCTGCATTGTGTTAATGAGTTGCCTTTCTATGCGATTTACATGGCTTGTTGGCAATACCCATATAATTGGCAAAGTCTAATTACGAATTCAAATTAATTACTTTAAACAACTATCTAACTAGCGTCTACTTTCTTATTATTCAATCAATTATTCAATATAAATCTAAGTTCAATGCATTGCCTTTCTCTCCGATTTTCATAGCCTTCAACTAATGCCCACGAACTTAGTTAAGTCTCAAAGCAATAATCAGACTTAAAGCAGACATACATATCGACACTTGTCTGCCTTCCACTTAGCAGCAAGTCAAGTATTTCTTTATATATATATATATATATTTACATACATATACATATATGTATATATATATATTTGTGGAAATAGAAAATTGATATCGTTGCCCTGTTGCTTGGACAACATTTGACCGCTTGTGCTATCAAATGTCACTCTCTAAATAGGGGCTTAGGAGGGGGTTTTCTATTTGTTACTTCCAAAAAGAAAAAAACCAAACAAGAAAAAACTGAAAGTCAAATAGAAAATTTGTCTGTTGCTGTTCGTGTTATTGACACAAGTGCTCGCTGACAGAGAGTCGCGCATGCACCGAGCCCCTGGGCAGGTCAAGACAAAGTCAGACTCGGCAGTTTTCCTCACCTTTTGTAAACAAACAGAGAGACAGAGATAGAGAGCGAGCGAGAGAGAGAGACAGATGCGCTGTTAAGGAGGACAAAACCTTTAACGGCTGCTGTCAAACCGCAAACACCACGGGAGTCTCGACTCTCAGGTCTTTGAGTCTTAGAGTTCATTTGATATTATTGCTCTGTTTCTGATTGTGATCTGAGAAAGAAACCTTTTTCGGCTCTGCGGCTCTGTGGCTGTGCTCCCTTTTGTCATACCCTGTGACAATTGCTAGAAGCGGACAAGAAGGAGTTTAATCAATTAGTTGCTTGAAGTACACAATATCACAGCAAGGCACATTCTAACATATATCGATAATTAGTTCTATTGTCCCAAAATACATAAATATCGATAAGATGTCAGAGTGGTTTGAGTTTATCTTATATTCAATTATAGGAGTCCATATAGCGATACATATTTTGAGTATGTAAAAATCGGCGAATATCGTTGTATTATGATGGCTATGATATCTATTATATAAGGTTGATCAATAACTACTTTTACTGCCTCCAAATAGTTAAGTATCGATATGCTCTACTATTTTTTTGGGGTATGTCTCAGACTCAGATGTTGATATTTATGTTGATTACTTAAGAATCGATAAATATCGTGTTTTCAGCAAGTAGTTGAGACTTACAGCATATCGTTATTAAAAGTATATCGATCTTTCTTGCCAAGACGCTCTCTTTCAACTTCATTTTTTCTTTACTTGACCATTTTAAGTTTGGTATTTCCATGCAGGAAATATATAATAACTAATAGATTATCAATATTACTCACACTCTATATATGCAGTATCTGTATATATATTTATTTTGTGGGCTCGATAAGATTTGTACGCTTCGTAGTGATAACGCCGACAAGGCCAGCGAAGCCAGATAAGTCCGACTACTTTATAGATAAATTCCACTGTAGGCTGTTTGCTGCGCCTTGATCCAAGAGGTCAACATAGTTTCGCCTCTCATTTCCGTTGCCCAATTCAGTTAAGTTAATGAAGTTAATTGACAAAAAAGTTCAAGAAAATTGACGCATAATCAGAGCGTGGTTCGGTTCGGCGAACTCGACTGAAATATGTTTAATATTAATTCCCATTTGGCACTGCAGCTCAGTACAGTATTACCTCACCCAAAACGAACTTCTAATTGCAAGAAAGACCTGCTCGCGCTCTCTCTCTCTCTCTCTCTCTCTCTCTCTCTCTCTCTGTCTGTGCTCTACCTACTTTAGGTACTTGCAGTAACTCGAGACATGACGTGTGTGGGCCGTGAGTCGGCGTTTGCCTGGTTCTTCTCATTTTTCTCATTTTATTTTTGGGTTTTGGCTTTTCTGTTGACGTCTGTCGCTCTGGCAGCTCTACTCTAATTGTGGCAAGAAAAGCCACAGCTGCATTTCTCGCAGTGTACGCACTTCTTGCAGCGTTGTGGGCGTTGTAGAAGGTCGTAAAACTTGCAAGCGATCATTGTGCACGCACGTCCCAAAAGGTTTTTTCTCAATGAAGCCCACAACAGATGCAGCTCAGGTACTTAATACCCTGTTAAAGCGCTCAAGTGGAGTTGCTTGACGAGAGCTTGCCTTTTGCATATGAGTATTACGATTATTAGATATATCGATGAATGAATAGACCGAATTTCGATAAGATATACCGATAAATACCTTGTGTTATTGTGTTTTTCATAATCGTGATAACACATATCGATTTCTCTACTTTGACTATCGATAGTTATCGGCTGTAATACTTTAGCATGGAATGCTATGCTATCCCAGGGTGTTTTTTATTCGTGCATCATTGTTGCAGCTGCCTTACCTCATGCTGTTTTGTTGCCATATGCCGCTGTCGTAAGTTTGTGGGACTTTGACTTTAATGAACGCTTTGCGGCAAATGCAACTGCAAGTCGTAGAAACTTCCCTCCTCCTTGCTTGACTTACTTCCCCTCTCGCTCCATCACTGCTCTCTCGTGCTGGCTGCCCGCCCGCGTTCATCCTTTGGGCTTCGGCTTTTGGTCTTTGGCTCACACAATTCTATTTTGGCAGCAAATTTATAACTTCCTTGGCAAATGCCATTTGCTTAGACAGTTTACGCCTACCCCCGTTGAAGAGTGACTGCGGGGGCGCGAGCTGCAGCACTTAAGCCTGGCTTAGAACCCACTGAGTGACAGTTTGTTTCTTTTTGCAAGCGCGGAAACTGCATAGGGTTGCCTAGAGAATATTATTGCGATATGACTTACGTATGGCTCATTCGCGTTGATTTACCAGACATGAGTCACGGGCCAAGACTGCGAGTCTGGTCACTCACAGATATTGCATCTGGAATCGGGAAACTGTGCTGCAGCTCAAATTGCATTTCAGTCCAGAGCCTCGACGACAGCTGCCGAATGCTGCACAATTGTTGGGCAAACGCATTACGGCTTGAAGTTCATTATACTCTGAGAGAGTGAGAGAGACGGAGGGCGAAAATCAATTGTTAAATAACCAACCAAAATAAAATAAAATAAAAATAAACAAGAAAATTAAAAAAACATTTAAAATAATATAAAAAATAAATTAATATTAAAAGAAAATGTTGAAAAAAATTTAAAAAAAAAATTTGAAATATTAAAAAAATAAATATTAAATATTTTATATAAATATTTTTATAAAATATTTAAAAGTGTAACTATTAAATGAAGTATATCTGAATATATATGTATATATTTTTAAAAATAATGCTAGATATATAAATAAAAATATAGATCGAAATTTTT